AGTCTTTGGAGCACAGAAACTTTCTGTTGAGGTTGTGGTTAGGTAGCTTCATTCATTTGATTATCTAGGTAAGCAGGTCTAGCCTTAGAGTTGGGTTTCTAGGCTCCTTAATCCAGGACCTTAAATTCTACTTTATATATACATGTAATTAAAATTTAAATCTGTGTTTTCTTTTGGAGGCCTTGAGGTTCTGAAATACAAAATGAAAATAGTGTTCACAGACATGTTTCTGTGGGTGGGGAGAGGCAAATCTGGCCTGTGACCATTCGAAAGCAAACCAGGTTAGCCACCAAAGCCTGGAACTTTGTGTCAAGAGATTTAGGATTGCAAAGTGATCTCTCAGCAGTTTGGAATTCTGTGAGATGCCTTACCTTAAAAATTAAAAATTTTTTCTCCTGTAACTTTTTCCTGGTTTACTTTGAATGGTTTTCATAGTCAGCAAGAATTGTTGGTGAGGCTAGGCTGGATGCAGGTATGAGGAAGAGGAAGAGTAATCTCTTCCATTTACTGCCATCTTTAACTTCCTGTTTTGGTGGTAGAAAGATTCGGGAAGCTGGTAGGTGAATTTCAGTCCATCAGGGAAAGTCTTAACAAAGCCGGCTTTATGGCCGTAATTAGTTTTACATTGGGAGCAGATGTTTCTAAGATTTGGCCTTAATGGATGATTCACAAATTGCAGTGTAGACTATTAAAGTCCAAGGTCAAGCATACAAGTTGGGTAGACAGAATATATAAAGGAATCATGTGGCTAGAGCCCTTCTCTGATCTTTACCAAAATGAACAAAGAAGACCGATGTCCCTGGTCAGGAGGCCAAGGACCAGGAGTTGAGACTAGGTCCTCCAGGCCCTGCTTCCCCAATCTGCAGAGTATGGCTCTTCATTGGTTCAAGGAGGAGATGAGTGAGGCTAGTTTCCTCTCAGGTCCTTTCTGGGCCAGAAAAAATTACTTAGGTCGTAAAAGCCAGTAGGATATTGGAGCAGGAAAGAGTCGGGGAGTGCCCAATAAGAAAAGCACAACGTTTCTCAGCATCAACTACATTTTACATGAGAGATTTTGAAAAAAATTCTCACAATGAAATTGTGATGTGTACAGCTTTTGTGTTTTAATAAAAGTTTTGACTCTAAAAGTAGAGGCTTTGACAGAAGTAACAAATATTTCAACAAATGTGTTTGGCTTTTTTTCTACAGGCTGCAAGCTGCAGTGAGAGATTTGCTAACATCCATCCCCAAATGCCATTTTAGTTCAAGAATCTAGATGTATTGTACCGATGTCTTTTGTGGTGTATCCTAGTCTAAGCTTGAGCGACACATTCAGGTTTCTTTCCTTGCTTGCCTCACAGTTGTTTTATCATGTTGCTGTTTATATCTCGTAATGGGGCCCATTTATGTATTTTAAGTAGTTCTAGTGATTTTAAGGTCCAGCATACCTCAGTCACCTGGATTTCAGCGTTCTAAAGGTTTCTAACCTGATAGTGCTATTTCGGGGATATTTTGTATATTTTTCTACAAAATAACGTGAGTTAAATGTGTAATTACATATGACTACTGTTTTTACTTTGATATTTTAAACCCTGCTTGGAAAAATGGAATGAACTATCTGTTTTTTACAGGTAGTTATAGGCTATCCCAGCTTGTTCCTGTGTGTGTACCTCCCTCCCTATTAATTGGAAAGGCTGAGAGAAGAAATAATAATTCAGTGTTGAACGAAATAATTATTTTAAAAAATTTCCTAAGAATTTTTAACTCTAACCTAATATTTTCCCTCCAATCTTTAAGAAGTGCTTTTTTTTTTCTTTCTTATTTTGGGAAGGAAATGGGTAAGTAGCCACATTGACAATTTACCTTTTTCTTGACTCATGATATTTTGAAATCTGTCTCGTTTGTTCATGTTTGAAAAAGAAAAAGCCTCTGTTCTTGGTTATCAGGTTGCATCTTAAATTTTTTGAAAAATTTATGTAAAAGCTGTGAAGGATACAATTTTTTTTAAAACTTCACTGAGGGATAATTGACACATGTAGTTGTATATTAGGATACAGGTTTGATGTTTTAAAACCCATAGCGGTAAAACCGAAGAGAGGACAGCGTTGGCATCGCTGTTCAGTGGAGTGGAGGTGCCTTTCCTGGAGCAGTTAACTGCCTGTGTCACTGCAGCCCTGGCTGCCTCAGTTGCCCCTTCTGGCAGCATCACATCTGCCCTCAAGGATCACACTCCTCTAGGATTGGCAAGTGATGCCTGAACTAGCCTCAAGTGGGACATGGAAATTTTCTCCAGAATTATTTTTGTGCACAGGTCTATCTAGGAGATTTTTTCCTTCTAAATGCCCTCCCTCCTCTACTTTTTTTTTTAATCTGAGTTATTGATAATATTTTCACTCTTCCTAGATGAGAATTTTTTAACCTTTCCTTACCTGATAGAATGCATCTTAATATTCCTTCCCCCATTTTTTTATGTTTTGTCCCAGGGAAGGAAAAATAAATTTATTGTGACAACATAGCATATTTTAGGCCCACATAAAAATATTGGTAAATGCAGAAGTTAGTCTAAGTAGAAACAATAACATTGGATTGGAGAATGAAAGCACTGACCCCCCCCCACCCCCCAAAAATGTGGGAGTCAAATGTAGTGCTTTCATTCTTTTTAAATTAATTCTTCGAGTTTATTAATACCTGGCTTAATAAAACTGATTTGAAAGACCTGTGTCTTTTATAACATTTCATTGACCCACTCTGCTTTTAATAGTCTATTATGTGACAAAATCTTTTCTGTCCATTACTGATGAATAGGAGCCGAAATATTTTCTGTATGTTGGTGTTCTTTTGGTAGTATATGTCTGGGGAGAGTATCTTATGTGTTGGTCAGTTAGCATTTCAGTAACAGCCAGTTCATCATGAAATGTAATTTAGCTTTAAATCGGCAACATGTCCCTGGTTGAAATTCCCCAAGAGATTTAACTCATCCTACTGTTTGTGCCATGGACTAAGATTGCACAGTGCTGCACCACGTCCAGGCCTACTCTGACTCCTGGATTTGTGAGACTCCCATGTCACAAACAATGCTCTTATAGCCTTCCTCTTTTCAAAGAATTGGAGCCCATGCAGAGGGCATGTTAAGAGAGCTGCTGTGCCTTTCCATGTTTCTACTATGGGGGCCATTTGGCCTTCTGGTTTTGGTGAATCCTGCTTTGTCATAAGGCTCCCTGCCATATTCCACCGTTTCCATGAGAGGGGCGTTCTGTGCTATATTTGTCCTATGGGTCATTTTGTAATCATACTTGTCCTGGCTATGTGTACTGTAGCTCCTGTCACTGTCTGCTGTGAAGTTCAATTTCATCAATAAAAAGAATGTCTCAAATTGGATGGAACAAAATGGCTGCGTTGTTATGGTTTGTGGCATGGATTCTGGTACTCCATTTTGTGTTCTGCATGTGGAATTCTGTCTCATTTCCCAGTTCTCGATGTGTCAGTTGACTCTGCAGTTAGGTGGAAGCCCCCAGAGTTCCACAAGTGACTTCATAGAGGAGCTACTTTGGACTTGATCAGCTACCGAGATGTTTTACTCCAGACAGAAGTTGAAAACCAATAAGCCTGTGTCAGATATGGCCAGCGAGATTAAGCTGGGGAGGCAAACTGGGCTAGGGTGAGTGAGGTTTTGGGGATAAAATCATCTCTAAAAGACTAGACACCTGGACTCTAGCATTCATTTTGTCTGAGATCAGAGACTGAACAGGAGAGCCTCTCATCCATTTCCAGGATAGCTTACCTGCGTTTTTGCCTTATGTCATCTGCCCCTACAAATTCTTATAAAGTCATTATTCAGCAAACCAATTGTTCTCCCCCCGACCCCCGCCAGCGTGCTCTTCTAGTGGCTAGTGGCTGTTCCCACTTCTGTTTCCAGGTTTGTACGGTGCCTGCCTTCTCCCGCCCCAAAGCAGGTAAACTGTAAAGAATGGATTGAGGCCAGTGGGCATAACTTCCCTGATCTTATTCTCTAATTCTAAACAAATTTCTATGTCTGAATTTTACTTCCCTTCAGTTTTGGAGCACTAGCACTTCTCTGCTTCTGACTCTTGTCATCTGTTGGGTATTTCCATCAATATTTTTTTCACTTGTTGCCTCAGTCCATGATCATACACAGAATTCCTCTCTTCTGGTTAAAGACATATTTCTCATAAAATATTCTGTAATTAAAATTTTCTAATAGTTGTAAGAATAGTATAAAGAATTCCCCTTTTTCCAGATTGACTAATTGTGATGATTTGGCCACATTTGCTTTATCATTGTGTGTGTTGAACCATTTGAGAATAAATTACAGACATTGTGCCCATTTACTCTTAAATACTCGACTACATGTTTCCTAAGAATAAGGATGTTCTCTCATCACCACAGTATAGTAGTCAAAAACAGGGCAAATGTTACTTCAGTATTATCTAAGAATGTAGAGTTTGTGTTCAGATGTCAGTGACAGTCCTAATCATGGTCCTTGGGGCTTTGTCCCCCAGTCTGAGATCCAGTTCAGAATCATGCATTGTCTTTATTGTTGGCCCCCTTTAGTCACCTTGAATTGAACAGTTCCTTAGCCTTTGTCTTTCACAACACTTTTTGGGGTCCAACCCAGTTATTTTGTAGAATGTCCTGCAGTTTGGGTTTATCTGGTTCCTACTGATTCGGTTCTGGTTGCGTGTGTTCGTCAGTAATACTCCCAAAGTGATGGGTCCTGAGTGCACACACCAGGAAGCGTGCAATGGCTGTTTGCTTCCTCACTGATGATACTATAATTGTCAAGACTTTAAGGCAAAAGAAAACATACTCATTTTTTTTATACATACCCATGCTTTCCTGCTTTATATAAATGTGACGATGCATGTGCCTTAGGTTAGTACAGACTTTTTTTGTATTCCTTTATTCTTTGCCCACCTTTTCCACCACATTAGCCTCCAACTCTTCATAACCCTTATCCTAGTGTGTCCTGTTTTTCTCCGTACTTATTTTGTACATACCGATACTATAGTACCTCCCTTAAACTCGGGCAAGAAGAGCCCCTGCCCTGGGCCCTGAGCTTTGGGGTGTCCCTCTTAGTATTCTTAGTATTATCTAAGAATGTAGAGTTTGTGTTCAGATGTCAGTGACAGTCCTAATCATGGTCCTTGGGGCTTTTTCCCCCAGTCTGAGATCTCTTCTTGTCATGTCTCTTTCCACCAGGTAAGGAATCCAAGGGGCTAAGAGGCTTGGCCACCCAGAGGCTCCCCTCCCCCACTGCTCTGTGTACTGGAATTTCTGCCCAAAGGGCTTTGATCCCGATTCCAGAGTCTTTGTGCATCATTTTTGTGGCAGCCCTCCCTAGGCTTGTGGCCGTGGAACAGTGGAAGTGAAGGGAAGGTGCAGTCTGGGTGTGTGGGCTGGGGTGTCCATGCATACGTCGCAGTCCACAAGCCCCTTGAGCAGGGCTGAGGGTGTGGGATTGGCAGAGGGCTTAGAGACCAGCTCCCCCTCTAATTCTGGCACTGAGCTGAGGAGTTCTAAGAATTCAAATTTGAAACTGGTCTCTCAGGTTTTTACAAAAGTATATTTGTCAAGGTAGGATAGAATATATTTTATTTACTAGTATTTTGATTTATGAACGTTTGAAATAATGAGACTATGTTGACCTATATTCTCTTGCATTGGTCCTATAAGGATATTCATATTTACATATGTGTGTGTATACAGAGTTACATGTATAAACATACCTATTTGTCATTCTTTTATAAAAATTGACATCGTACATTCTTCTGCATCTTTTCTTAGTAGCGTCTCATGGAAATCCCTCCTAGTCATCTGCTGGAGGTCAGATTCAGATTCATCCTTTTGAGTGTGGGTAATGTTCTGAGTACAGGTGTACTGGTCTATTCAGCTGTTCTTTTTCTGATAGCAATTTTGTTTATTTTTTGCTATGAATGGTGCAGCAGCAACCACTCTTGTACAGTGGTCTTGCACAGATGAGTAATTTAAATCAATACCCATCACTCCATCCACTCTACTGAAATAAATTATAAAGATTGCCATGCACCTCTTTTGAGTTAAAAAAAAGGAAAATAGAGAAATATATGATTTAGAAATCCTTCGCAATCACCTGCCAGAGATAATGACCATTATATTTGGAGTATATTTTTCCAGGCTCTCTACACATCTGCCAATATACACATTCATGTATTCTTAACAGAAATTGATTTATAAGTCTGCTTCTGTAGCTTTTTTTCATTGGCGGTGACCTTTACTGCCATGTTCAGTGGCCTTTTTCTTATCATCTTGGCCTATTCTGAAGCATCCCATCCTCCTACCTGACTCATCCTGTCTTTTGTGTGTTTTGCCTCTTTCTATCCCCTAAATGTAGCTAGTCCCCATTTTCCAGGTGTTTTTTCTTTTATTTCTAATTGGATAGCTCAGCATTAAGCCACTTTCCCTCTTTGTTCCCTTTTCTGGAAATGTTTCTGGCATTTTTTAATTTTTTTTATTTTTTTTTATGCTTACAGCACCTGGTCTTCCTAGGTGGTCTCCCATTCAAGTACTAACCAGGCCCGACCCTGCTTAGCTTCCGAGGTCAGACATCGGGCTTGTTCAGGGTGGCATGGCTGTAGACCTCTGGCATTTCTTTCAGTTACCTTGGTTCTTGGCTTCCAGATCGCCTTTCCTTTGGCTCTTCTTTCGTCCTTACATTCGAGCTGTCACTAAAACACTGTCAGGTTAGGACACCATTGGCCGATCTTCAATCTTCCTCCACCTCCCTTCTCTATCTTATGCTGACGAATTTTCATAATTGCCCTTCATCCTGTTCAGACTCCCTAATGAGAAGATTTTACATTCTGCTTCCATTTTTTTTCTTCTCTCCCACTATTCCTCCCCTCCCCTCACCTGTCTAGCCAAGGTGGCTCATGTACTCTGTCCACTGAGCATGTGTGGGGCTTGACACTCTCTTCCTGGCCATCCCTTGACATCCTAGAATTTTCTCTAGATTCTTGCTGGTGGACTTGCTGATAAGGTGGATCGACTCTCCAATAATCCTAACAAAACTGTCTTCCATCTTCTGTGGAGGTGCCACTGACCCAGTGGAAATGTGCCCTTTAGATCTCAGAGCAAAGCTCCATGGAATGGACTTCACACACTCTTCCCTGATCCTTTGCTTCCATGTCACCTTTCCCAAAGAAGTCCTTTCTCCAAGGGCATTGGAGGGGCGGATGGCGGGGGTGGTGTATGCAGTGGAAATTAAGGGCCCTGTCCTGCCCTACCTTTGGTGCATGTGTTTTACTCTTTGGACATGTGCCAACCTTGGACCTTATTTACCTAATCTGTGAACTAGAGTTGGACAACCTCATGGCCTCCTAAGCCTATTCTGATTCTCTAAAAAGGATGACCCCCTTTAGGAAGCCTCTGGCGTTAATCTAAGAGCATAGTAACTTGAGAAGCCCCAGCGCTTCAGTAAAACAACTGTTTTCCGTCAGGGGAAAGAAGGCTCACAGGTGTGTGCTTGGGAAATGCTCCATGCTGGAGAAGCCCTGATGGGAAAAAGGAGGCTCATCAAATACCTGCTGGGGTGTCCGTGGGCATGGGGCAGCCACCCCCTCTCTTGACCCTGACTTCAACCCTCCTGTGACCCAACTAAGTCAGCCTCCCACATGGTCCTTACAAAGACTGAAGTGAAAGTGACTGATTCCCTATTCTAGGTCAAGAGCAGTGTCTTCTGAGGACTTGAGAGAAAGCCCTCAACCTCGAAAGGTAAGAAAACCATCATTCGATGGTGTGTGGGGATGTTCCAGAACCACCCAAACATCAGTCATCAGCATAGAAGTCTGTATTGGGTATCAGTCTCTGCACCAGGGGTTACAAACTCAGATATTTACAAGGCCAGGTAGGTAACTGAAGTGTGTGCTGAGGCAGGCTGGTTCTTCCTTTTAAAGCACTGCATGGGGCAAATGCAGCCAATCTGAGGCTACACATTTGCCGTCTCTACACGGATTATACTTAATTTTGTTGCCACGTTGTGATAATGGTGGGACAGGCTGTACAAATTACTATCAAACCCGATAAGTATTTAGTGTCTATTATGTGCTTGGGGCTGGGAAATATAGATAATTAGTATAAATTAAGATTAAATTAAGATAAATATGTCCTTGCCTTCAAAGAGCTCACTATGAGATGGGGAGCAAGAACAAGAGCCAATATTCTGTAACTGCCGTTTACTGGGGCTTCACATGTGTTCAGATGTCATTTAAGTCTTACTGCAACCCTGCAAACGGATACTGTGGATCTCTTTTACAGATGAGGACACTTGTGGCTCAGAAGTAATGTGATATGCCCCAAATAAATTAGCTTGGAAGTAGGGAGCCAGGCAGAATCCTGACCCAGAGCTCTGGGACTCTACAGTTGTATGTTTCTATCACACCTTGCTGTTTACCTGTAAGGACAGACACACAGGTATCACACATGCATGGCAGATATGAACAAAGAATTCGGGGGCACACAGGTGGCAGTGATAACTCTCACCTGAAAGGTCCTTGGAGGAGATGCCATTTGAGCCGGACTTTGAAGAATAGGTAGTTTACCTCTGGGTGGGATGGTCTGTAGTACATAGAGGAAACAATGTGAATAACAGGGGAATGCTTGCTGTGTCTGGGGATGGTGGAGGGCAGCCGGTGTGCCTGGACCATGGTGTGTGCACTGAGACTAGAAAGACAGGTCAGGGTTACCTTGCAAAGGGCTTTTAATGCCATACTCAGGAATTGGAGATGGTGGGAGTAGCCTGGAAAGTGTCAGAGCCTATTAGATTTGCCTTCCAGAAAGATGATTGGTGCTAGTGTTGGAAGGTGGATTGGGAGGGAAGGCCAAACTCTGGTCCTAGTTAAGGTAGGCCATTGTACTTGTCTTAGCAGAAGGCCAAGGTTCAGGGTGGGGCAAGGAGGTGAGAGAGAAGGGTTTAGATGTAGAGGATGGATCATAGCAAGAATAGGAGAGTAAGAATGCAAAGGAGGAAGAGGAAAGAGCCAAAGAAGGTCCTGAGATTTCTAATCTGAGGACCTGCATGGCTGGGAAGAGCATTAACTAGCTCATCCTGTGGGTCCCATGAAAGCAGGTCTCCACTCCATTTATTTGTGTCTTCACAGTGCCTGGCACTCAAAAATTTTGGGTAGACCGTGAGTGAATATCAGATGCAAGTTCACAGGAGATGAGCGTGTTTGCTTGTTTGGTGGGGCTGAGATGGGGAGAGTGAGCAGTTCGATCTCCACCAAAGTCTTCTTGACTGCCCAAGGCGCAAAGCAGTGGATCTCAGTGAGCAGCACTCAGTGGTTATCCCACGGCCCACACTAGCAGTCTTTTGGGGGAGGCAGCCTTGGATGATCTGAGTCTTTAGTGACCTGAAGTATTGTGCCAAGTGTCAAAATGAGTCACATGTAGGTGCTGAAGAGAGTAAGTATTGTCGATTGTTGAGGGATGGAGGGGTGGGGAAGGTTTTTTGGGGGATGTGGAGAGATCAGTAGGAGGAGGAAGCTGCAAGCCCCTGGCGGAGGGGTCTGCATGAGCTTTGGTGTGTGGGCAGATGATCTGATCTGACTCAGGGGGATGTCTGGGCATGTCAGCACCACATCAAATTGTCTGGGAAAGATGGAGCTGGATTCCTTGTGGTCTTGAATTCTGACTGCTGAATATTTGAAAGAATATAGTTACTGAACTGAAGCATCTTACATATTCAATTCCTGTTATGTGTGAGGTGGAACCTTGCCTGTGTCTGCTAACGTTGCTGAGCCTCAGTTGTGGCATCTGTAAAAGGAGAATGATGGTTGCCTCGCCAGAGTTAGGGGAGGCAGTCTAGATCTTTCTTGGTCTTCCTGGATCTGAAAGTGGTTAAGACTTAACTTGTTTGCATCATAGTAACACACCATAACACTTCATACTCTGTCCTCCCCCTGTCTCTGTTCCAAAAAGGTGTGCTTATGAATGTTTAGCCAGGAAACCAACCCTCTCAGTTCCTGGTTCTTGCAGTCATGTTTGTTCCAGGTGTCCACCCCAGGTAGATTCCAAATGAGCAAGGAGGCTCTTAGATCCTCGACAGCATCTCTCATCCTAAGCCAGATGCCCGACTTCCAACAAGAGTCTCAGCTGTTTACCGAGCTACACCTGGCCAAGATAGAGAAAATGTTTAAGGACAACGTAAACACGAATGAAGGTAAAGCTGCATTGTGGGCTCAGTCTCTTGGCTTTTGCACAGGGTGGGACCCAGTACCTGGGTTATGTGGTGGATTCAGACTTGACATTTCTGCATCAGTGTCTCTTTTAAAACTTTTTATTAGTTTATAAGTATTGTAAAACCTAGAAAAAAACCTAGAAAACTAGAAAAAAGAATCCCTATAATTCAAACACCCAAACATAACCACTGTCAGCATATTGATATATTTTCTTCCAAACAATTTTGTACATATGGCTTATTATCTATTGCTGCATAACAATATTTTACAAACTTACTGGCTTAAACCAACTTATGTTTATTATCTCACAGTTTTAGTGGGTCAGGGGTCTAGGCGCAGCTTAGCTGGCTCCTCTGCTTAGGATCTCAATAGGATGCAATCAAGGTGTCAACGGGGTGTCATCCGGGGCCTGACTGGGGGAGAATTTACTTCTGAGCTCATTCAGGTTGTTGGCCGAATCCAGTTTGTTGCAGCTGCAGGACTGAGGCTTTCTATTTCTTCCTGGCTGTTAGCTGGAAGCTGCCTTCATCTCCTACAGCTGCCCACAGTTCCTGGCCATGTGGGATTCTCTACTGTGGCTGATTGCAACGCTCAAGCTAACTAGGGAGATGGAAACTCCACCAAGAGGGGTGCTGCAATCTTATAATATAGTCATGTAATCATGTGACACAGTCCTGTACATTCTATCACCTTTGCCATATTGGTTAGAGGCAAGTCATAGGTCTCGCCACAGTCCAGGGGAGGAGATCACAGGAGGGCATGAACACTAGGAGGCAGACATCACGAGGCCTCCGCCACGTATGGCTCTGTGTGTTTTCACATGTCTATATTTGTTCTATGTATGTAATTTTAGACTCTTCTTTTTCTCTTAATGTTAATGCCTTAAGGGCTTTTTTATATACCTATGTGGTCTTCCAAACCGTCATTACTAATGAATGCAAATGTTCTACTGGTTGACCAAGCCATTCCGTTATATTTGGACATTTAGGTTTTACTGAGTTTAAATAACATTGTGAAAAACATTCTTTGTGCATCAAACTTTTTCTCTCTTTAGAGCTTGATTTTTCCCCTTGGGATGTTACAAAGAAAGTCAAATAATAGGAATACTTAAAGCAATCTTTATTTATACCCACTGAACTATGACTATCAACACTGAGGCCCTGTCTATTTGTCTCATCAATTTCTTCTGAGTTTTACAGCCACACTGTGACGTGGGCAGGAAAGAATAACAAATCCTCAGTTTACAAATAAGCAAAGCGAGGCCGGAGAGGGACCATTTGTGTCTGATCTGAAGATGAGATGATTCCTAATTGGAGTTCTTTGGCATTGATGTTTGGCAGCCAGGAGCTGTCACCACTGGGTGACCCTGACAGCACCAGCTTTGGCGACAATTTTGATTGCATTTATGTTTGTTTTGAATAGGTAATATATTCTTGCAGTTCAAAATTCAAAAGGCAATTCCCTGTGATACCTTTTTGGTATGCAGAGAAATATGTCCCTCAGCGGGACCCGTGCTGCCCAGTTCCGTCCTTTCAGGCAGTGACAGCTTTCAGTTTCTTGTGACCTTTACAAGCACAGAAGTGTGTATAGATTTTCCCTGCTTTTTTTTATATGCAGTGGCAGCTTACTGCCCATACTTTCCTACTCCTTGCTTTTTTTCCAGCTTTATCGAGGCATAATTGACAAATAAAATTGTAATGCATTTAAAGGGTACAATGTTCCAGTGTACATTGTGAATGGATCCCCACAATCATCTACTCCTTGCTTAAAAAAAAAATTGTTACCAAGTTTCCCTTCTTGCTTTTTAAATGATGTCTTGGAAATCTTTTCATATCAATGCAAAAAAGAACTTCCTCATTAAAAAAAAAAAACTGGCTATGATTTTATTTTAATTTTTTAATTTTAATTTTTTAATTTTTATTTTTATTATGGTGACATTGATTAACGAAATCCAGTAAGTTTTAGGCATGCAATTCAACAGTAAGGCATATATATACCTTGCATTGTGTGTTCACCACCCACATATTTAACTCTTTTTACCCCATCTACTTCCCCTCTCCCCTCTAGTAACCACTAGTTTATTGTCCATGGCCATGAGTCTCTGCTTGTTTGTCCTGTTTGTTTGTTGCTTTTAGGTTTATATCCCACGTGTAAATGATAATCATATGGTTTTCAACTTGTTCCGCCTGGCTTATTTCACTTAGCATGATTATCTCAAAGTCCATCCATGTTGTCACAAATGGCAGTATTTCCTCTCTTCTTATGGCTGAGTAATATTCCATTGTATATATGTACCACAGCTTCTTTATCCAGTCATCTATTGTAGGACACTTCGGTTGCTTCCATGTCCTGGCCACTGTGAATATTGCTGCTTTGGCCATGGTTTTAAATGGAGGAAATTTACCATTAGCTGATGTAGGGTAAAGAAAAATAGGATCCTTTTTCTCTTTCAAAGTCTTTAAAAAAGGTGGCTTCTGAGCACGGGCTTGATACCATTTATTGGGAACCCTGACCATCTATCTGTGCCTGCCTCAGCGGAAAAGGGAGAGGCCAGGATTCTCCCCCAGGCATATTTATTTATTTTTGTCAGCTGAACCACATGATCTTTCAGCTGGGTCTGTGATTCTTCAAGAAGAGCACTCAATTTTCTCTGGGAGGTCTTGAAACTGTCCATGTGCCCATGGCCCTACCACCCCTGGGGGCCTGCAGGCTGCTCAGGGGGTTGAGGGAGTAGCACTGAGCTGAGGGGCTGTGCAGAGCTGGTGGTGGTTTCGTGAGCTTGTGTGTGAGGAGCCTGAGGCTTTGCTTGCATACATCAACAATGGGCCCAAATGGAGGGGCCTGGGGCCTTTGACCCAGAAGCCTGTGCTTTCTTGGGCACCCCACACCATGTGGAGCACCCCAGATACCAAAGTAAATGAAGAAAGGTGTGTGGCCGTGCAGCACGGTGGCCGATCTCTGTGACCGTGTTCTAAGAAGGCGGGTTTACCCTCTCACAGAGCATCGCGGAGCCTGCGCTTATTTCCCCCTGGAGGGCAGAGGGGAGGCTAGGAAATAACATTGCTTTCCTTAAATATTTTTAATCTAGTATTTATTTTTAAAAATGCTTACAAATATGTACAAATATAGAGACAAATAGTCCATAATCCTACCTCTAGGCATTACAAAGAAAGAATGAGAGAAGAAGAGAAAGGGGTGGGAGTGGGGGTGGGAGGCGGTGGGGGCCCTTGGGAATAAGTGTGAATGGTTAGAAACCTGCCTGGAAAGGGGAAGTAGGCGTCTCCCAGGAGATGGGCAGGAGGGCAGTTCCCGCAGGAAATGGTATAGACGAGGTGCAGGGGTGCTTCTGCGCTAGAGAGAGACAAGGGTGTCCTAGGGACAGGGTGGGGGGTAAGGAGCCCATGGGGAGTGACTCAGGTCAGGAGGACCCCTGAACTCCAGCAGTGGGGTGTGTGAGGAGGCGACACATGTAGACCTGTTTGAGAAAAGTGTCCTTGTGGTGAGGAGGTTAGGTGGACGTGGGAGGCCGGGGTTGGTAAGAGCCCAAGCTCCCTGTGCCGGTTCTACATTGGGTGGAAGAGCTTATAACACAGAGGAGGGAAGGCTTCTGGTTTTAAATCACTGCTGTGCCACCGTGTGTCCTTGGGCAGATCCCAAACCTATCAGTGCCTCTCTGTCCTCATCCGTAAGATGGGGAGGACAGTGCCTCCACTCTGGGATCATAAGAGTCTTGTGAGGATTTAGGAGGGTGGACATTGAAACCCCTCCTCACATCTTCAGCCTGGGTGACTGGGTGACTAGGGGAGGTGACACCATTAGCAGAAACTTTATCCCAGTTTTGGGATAAAGATAAATTAGATTTTAAACATGAGTTGGAAGGTCCAGGGGGACACTTGGAAATAGAGTCAGGGACATGGGAGAGAAGTGGCCAGTGGGTTTGCTCATAGGGCGGAGGCCCCAAGATAAGGAAAGGCACTGTCAGGTGTGGTTTGAGGTCACTGGTGGCTCAGTGGAGTGGGCTGGCAGAAGTCAGGGAGCCCCCCGGAAAGTTCCCTCCTGCCTGATCCTAGTAGCGATCCCCTCCCCAGGGAAGTGATCTTTTCACATTCACGCTTTGAGAGCTTAATCAACCATGCGGTGCGAGCACTTCCATTCAGAGGCGATGGCCAGGTGTTCTACCTGGCCCCCACAGCGCACGTTTCCTTTCCAAAATACCTTTGTGTCTATTCTCTCACTTTTCTCAAACAAGTTTTTGATAAACTGTTTGCAAGAAGTATGTTAAAATAACATGGCAGTGAACAATATATACGGCTTCTTAAACAATTGTGAAAGGACTTGATTCCTAGAGCATCCTCACGAGGAGTTTGTCCATTAAATGCTGCACGAAGGCCCTTTGACTCCCAGCTCTGTCTGGAGGGGAAGGCCGTGTGCTCACGGACTGTCATCTGATGTCCATGATATACATGGAAGGACCACGAAATGCCACACGAAATACATAAGCCTCTTGGCTACAGCTTAGGATAAGCGAGACGGGTCCTTCTTTAAGCAGGGCATGTTTTGTTCAGGCTTTCATTTGTTCCTTAATCTGGCAATAAATAGTAACAATCGTGGCTGTAGTACTGTGCTGGGTGTTTTATGAGGAACATAGCGTGGGTTAAAAGCAGGACCTCTGGGACGAAGTTGCTGGAATCAGCCTCGGGTGCCACCACTTCCCAGACATGTGACCTTGGACGTGCAACCTCACCTCACAGTGCTACAGTTACCTTGTAAGCCCCTTCTCATTAGGTAATCAGTATGAATAAACAGAGATGAGACTGGCACCCAGTATCATCGCCATCACATCTTAAAGCTGACAGAAACACTCGGGGGACCCAGTCACGGAGGGACAGACTCAGCCTTGCACTCCCGGAGCTCACAGGCTAGAGCAGTGATGAGAAATGTCAGAGGACAGTGCGGTCAGGTGTGGGGGTGGGTGGACTCGTCTGATAGTCCCCAGGAAGGCTTTCCTGTGCGGGGAACCAGACGATGTAAAGGCCCTCAGTGAGCGCGCGCTCGGTGTTGTGAGCAACCACGTGGGAACAACTTCATGGCTGGGGACAGTGATGCGAGGTGAGAATGAGAGGAGCCAGATCATGCATGGCCTTCAGGCCGTGGCAAGGGCTCCAAAGACTTGGAGGGCGTTTGAGAAGCACTTTATTATTAAAAAAATTCTAGACGGGATTATTGGCCCATTAGAGCCACAAAACCCAGCGCAAGGAGAATATTTTATCTCTGCCTTCTCCTCCCCTTTCCTCCCCTCCTCATCGTTCCCTCCTGCCAAAGTTTGTATTTTAATTGCCTTTAAAAGATGTACTTCACCTCTCCCTTTATATGTTTGAATTTATGTCTCTGTTGCTTTTATTTACTTTTTTTTTTTTTTTAGTTTTCATCCGTTTTCTTTGTCTTGATGCCTGGTCTGTCTTATTTGTTCAGAAATGAGATCTGATCTTTTTTAGCAAACCCTATTTCCCACCACTACTATGGGGCCAACACAGCGCTTATAAGCGGAAGGCATGCCAACAGTATTTGTGGGGTGATCGAATGTTGAACAGATGATGTGAAAGATAGCCAGGCAAACGTGATCTTCTGTGTGTCCCCCCACTCAGCACCCACACACGATAGAACACTGTGGCCGGTGGTGGGGCCGAATGAGTTGTGACGAAGTGGATGATGTTCTTTCTTTTCTGAAGCCCTGGACATGAAGACTTTCATTAAGTCCATGAAGAAGATTCTGAGTGATATGTCAGACGAGATGTTAGAAGTGATGTTTTTGAAGGTGGACATAGACTGTAATGGCTTCATCACCTGGGTGAGGAGGGCACCCCTGCTGCCTCGGGTAGCTGGAGGGAGGCTGCAGGGTACAGGCCTTGGCTGGTCAGTGGAGCTGGTCACATGGAAGGTTGAAGATGGGGGCAGTCACAACATTAGAAAGCCTTCTATGGATTCTGGGGTACATGCTGGGTAGAAGGAGCCCTCAGAGTCTCTCGGGAGCCCTTCTGAGATTTTTGTGGGATCACTGCAGCTTATTCTCCTCTTGGAGTTCAGGAGAGTATATAGCAAATGTCAGTGGCCCCTGCATGAGATGGACTGAGTGCCCAGCAGTGAGCAGCAACCAACCCTCCGCCCCATGCCACCTGCCTCGTGGCCGTTCTGCGTACCAGCCTCCTCCAATCCAGTGTAGGAGTTTCTAGCCAGTGTTACAGTCATCTCATGGCCCTTTATGGTCACTCAGGAAAAGGCAAATCTGTGGCTATTAAATCCAAAAATGTCAGGTTTTAGAATATATTAATAACAATGTCTTTTTTCCTGATTCTAAATGTTCTACGAAGAGCATATACTGTAGAGCATTTAAGAATTCACAGATAAATACAGATAAATACAAAAATATAGCCTGCCACATCGATGTTGTGATGATGACAGTGATAACTAGCATTTACACCAGCATTGTGCTAAGCACTTAATGTATTATTTTACTTAAACTTCACAGGAATCCCATGGGTGGGTGCTGTTGTTTACCTCCACTTGACAGATTGGGAAACTGAGGCAGAGAAAAGTTAAGAACCTTGCCTAGGGTTATAGAACTCGTTAGCAGGTGAGCCTGTCTCAGAGCTGGGGACTTTGCTTCAAGAGCCCATGCGTTAACTGCTCTATCATACCTATCATACATTCTGTTTGGGTTTTTTTTCCTTTCCTTTCACTTAATATTCTATAATAAACATATTTCCATCATTCTCTGCCATTGACACAATGATCTTTCTTAATAACTCCCTATTTTTTGTTATAGCGTCACCTGGTGGCCCATTTTGGCCTTGGCCATATTTTCATAAACCTGATCAGTAGAGTCTATAGTTGCCCTACTGGCCTGGTGAATGGATCCTCTCTTTCCGTTAACTCGATATCTGAGCGGGGGCAACTTAGCTATATGCATATGGGCACAGTCTTATTATTCATAAAGTGCGGTGAATAAAGAGATTCAGATGAGACTGCAGATGTGGAAATGATGTAAAGATGTATCTAACATGACAGAAATGCATAGGGCGGGAAGCTAATGCATTAAGGCAGGAGGTGCTGCTATGCTGTCCTCATATACACTTGCCAGTAGGCCCTTCGCCCAATCCAGATCCGAGAACAGCTCTGTTGCTTGGCCGCTTCCTTTGGCAGCCTCAGGGGGCTGGCTCCCGGAGCCCCTTGGAATGGGCTGGAAGAGAGTAGGGAAGACACTGGAAGCCAGGCTTGGATTTCCAAAGCCCAGGGATCAGTCTGTTGGCCCAACGCCCTCCCTCCTTGCGTTTCTTCCGGAGGCAGCAGAACTTTGTGGACCACATGATTCGTGAGTTCCAAGGAAAGGAGTTGATGAGGAAGAGCCAGTACCACCTGCGCTTCCACCTGCCCATGAGGATCATCCCCCTGTAAGGAGCCTCCCCCTGGACCAAAGGGGTGTGTCTGAACAAGGCTGTGCTGGCCCTGCAGCAACACCCCTTCCAAAATCCCCGAGCCCCTCTTTGTGGGGGCCACCAAAGGTCCAGCACCGGGCCTGGTGCTTGTTGTCCTTTGACTCCTCTCAGCCTCTGTAGGTGAGTGTGATCTTTAGGTAGGTGATTTGTCCCCATTTTACAGATAAGGAAACTGACACTTGGAGAACTCAAACAGAGGTGGTGGGGTTGTTCTGTGTGCCCCTCCCTGTCTCTACCCTCCTGACATTGCTCCTCCTACTTCCTCCTGTGGCCAGTTCTGAGTGGGTCTGGTGGTTTCATGCACAGGACACAGACGCCTCACATAGTAGGGTCAGGGCTTTCCCCTGAGGTGACAGAGAGTAAGAGCCATTGCAGGAAACTGATCCTCGAGCCCATCCCAGGCCTCGGGAGTGGGCCCCTCCGTCATTCCTGGAGCACGCAGCTCTATCCCTGCCTTGACTTCTTGACCCTGCCTGCTTGCTCTTCTTTGTGGCTCCAACCCCCTAAGCCCTCTGAATGTTCTCTTCACCCTCTCTCGGTGCCATAACCCTATTTGCCCCACCCCTCAAAACACTCTAAGAATGAGGAGCATCCCAGTAGTTTTGGCCTGCTGGCCATGGCCAATGGAGCCGGGCAGCCCATAGGCCCCTGGCTCTCTTACTGGAGCTCACTTTGCGCTTGAGCACCAACTGCCTGCTGCAGGCGGCCAGGGCCAGGAGTAGGGTCCTGTGGTACAAGGTATTGTGCCTGACGTTTGTGGCCTGGTTAGGAAGGGCTATGGTGGGTCTGTCCTTAGGGGATCCCACACACAGCATCTCATGGGAAGCACCACAAACTAAAAGGCAGTCCCTGGCCTCAGAAACCTGGAATTTGATAGAGAAGATAGTTTAAATGAAAACCGTGAAAGAGTAACTTTTAAAAAAAATTGGTCAAAATTTGAGGAATAGCCAATAAATATAAATGACGGAAGATTTTACAATCATAAATTTTGACATGGAAACTTTGCTTGATGTAGCCAAGTGTTCACTGGTCTATTTCCTCGAGACATTTAGATTCCCAAGAGTGCTTAAAGGGCCTGAACTCAAAATGTCAAGAAGCTTGCCCCTATATTCTCCTATTTATTTGCTCGATGTGCAAACCCAGGGAACATTTCCAGCTTGGTGGAGAAAATAGCCAAATAACATTTAATTATCTTCATGTAAGGGTAGCTTTTAAAGGTTTGCGCACCCGTACTGAGCCTGCATCCAGCTCACCAAATGCACCATCTCCTTGATCCCACTGCAGTCCAAGGAGGTGGAGGTGCTATCGTCATGTAGATGAGGAAAGCGAGACCTCATGAGGTCATAGTTCCTGGGGCTCTCCTCGTTCATAGCGCTCACCTGTTGTGTCCATTCCTCACAGTCTCTTGGTCCTGACAGGCAGAATTGGAGATGACAATGAAGGGTGACTGAGAATATTCATCAGGATCTGGACAGGGCTGTGGGTGAGGGCAGGAGAGAGAGGACAGCGGTGTCCAGATACACGTCTCTCTTCTGCAGAGATTGTAATGCGGTAGAATTTCGCAGTAATTGGGTGATTCTTAAGCCACAGGTGACATCATTTAGACAGAGCTCTGGCTGGAGTAGGGATCAACGTACCTGGGTTCCAGTTCCAGCTCTGCTGGTAACCAGGACATAACTCAAAGCAAATGGTTATGCCCCCGTTCCCTGTAAGGTGAAGTAACATTACCTGCCCTGCTGGGGCCCAGAGGTGTGGGCACATCAGATGGGAGAGTGTGCTCTGTCAGGAAGTCAAAATAGTGGTACTCTTTAATTGCCAGATAGCTGGCTTAGCCAACTTTGGGGCAGGAAAGAAGCCACTGGAAGGTAGCGTTGAAGCTAGCTGGGAAGACTGGACATGGCTGCCTGTGCTGGGAAGCCTGCCCCCGGAACTGTTTGCTGTGCTCAGGGCATGCATGTCCTTGGAGATGAAGAGTCGTGTGCATGGGGCCCTTGTCTACTTTTCTCTCATTCTTGGACCCTGTTCCCCTTTCTACCCTGGAGCACTAGAGCCGTTGCTGGAGTCAGTGTCGTTTCACAGTTTTCAGTCACAAGTCCCACTCCGCTTGCCTTCTGCGGGCCATTTTTTCAATAAAAGGTTTGTAAAAGACCTCTCTCTGTTCTCTGTCTCATCTGACCCATCCCATCATGAGGAAGCTGACTGGCTATTTCATAGAACAAGCTTACTGCTTTAGGAGCCCTGTCTCATACCAGCATCATACGTGGGTCTCTTTTCTTTTTGGCCGCTGTTGAAAATGGCAGCAGTCCACTTGGAAAAGGGGCAGAGTCTCACGTCTCACAGAGCCTGCTAGAGTTTCTCCGTGGTGTGTGTCTGTGTCTGTGCATGCCTGCATGCATGTGAGCAAAGCCCCTCCTGCTTGCTCTGTCCTTCCTCCTCTGTGTCTTTGTTCTGTTTTTGTTTGGGCCCTTCTCTCATTGCCTCCCACAGGAATCACGGATGTGAGGTCATAAAAGTGGAGTTTTTAACCCAGCGTTTCAAGAAGTTTGGGTATTTCCTTACTGTCACCAAGGATGGGATCCTGCAGTTCTGGTCGGAGTCCTTCATGCTGATCGATTCCTTTAAGGTGAGTGGGATCCACATGTGGAGCATACACGGGATGGGTCAGAGAGCCTCTGCCTTTGCACCCGGGACCCTAGCAGGCTCCTTCTTGGGATCTGTGGGCTAGGCAGCTTGCACTTGCAGTCACGGCTCCTGGGCTGAGGTTCTGGCTTTACTGTAGGACTGTGTGAGCCTCACATTTCTCCTCTGTAAGCAGGATTCCACCTCGATGTCCATTCCACTCGCATGTTCAACAGACACCTCAAACCCAATTTGTTCAAACTGAATGTCACCGTAGGCCTCCCTGCCAGGCTTACTTCCCCTGTGCCCTCATCTTAGTGAATGGTATTATCATCCACCAACGTTCCCAGGCTAGATAGAGATCAGCCTCTCTTCCTTTCCTTGTCACACCTACTCCATCACCAACTCCTGCTGATTCAAATCCTTTGCCTGCACCAGGTAGGAAATCACAGTAGTTGTGAGCATGGATGCTGGAGCCTGGCCTCTTGGCTTAGAATCCCAACTGCACCACCTTCCAGCTCTGTGATTTTGGACCAGTTACTATATAACTCTATGCCTCAGTTTCCTTATCTGTCAGATGGGGTAGTAATAGTACCCCCTCACAGGGCATAATACACGCATGGTGCTTGAAGTACAGCAAGGCACACAGCAAGTACCCAAGAACAGGGGACATCATTATTGTCTTTGTGCCATCAATTCCTGGCCAAGTGCAATGAGCGATAAAACACTCGGGCATATCCGCTGTGTACTTGTGTTGCCAGACTAATCCAGAATCCTCCAGCAAATGAGGAAGGCACAGCTCTTCAGAGAAGAAAGTTTTACTGAGATGCTGCCAGCCATGAAGGCTTTTGCCAGCACTTTGTAACAGCAGAGTGTTTCGTGGTTGCATCAGGGGTCGTGCCTTGGAGCAGGAGGGTTCTGCATGGTCCCTTCTTTCCCTTCCCCACTCCAGTTGCCTCGGGAGGGAACTCAGGTCTGGGGAGGTCTGGTGACTCTCCTGGGTGCACTCGGTAGCCCAGGACCAAGGGCGGTTCACACTCATGTTTCTGAGGCCATGTTTCTGGCACATGCCACCCTCTTTGTCTCTGTGTTTACTGGGCAGAGGTGCGTATTATAGCCTGAGCTCTTGGTTGTGGCTGCTATACGGTCAGCTCAGTGTCCCTCAAGGGGCAAAGCCCAGGAGGGCCAAGGAGGATGGATGGAGGCTCCCCCAGAAGGCCCAGAAGACCTGGGCATTCTTCCTTGAGGGGCTGCTTTGACAAGTAGATGTCAATAGTGAGCTCCAGGCACCAACCTTGACCATTGGCTGCACACCCATGGTCATGCAGATGGAAAGCCCTGGAGTTTGGGGCTGGGTCAGGGCTTCACCTATTAGCTATGCAACCTTGGGCAAGTCATTGAAACTTCCTAGGGCTCTGGATTTCTCTTCTGAACATGGGGGTGATGGGTGTTACTGTTATCTCCCTTGTGTGTGAGTTAGACCCAGCCCTGGGTGAGAGGGGCCTCGGTGGGGACCCTGGTCCATCGTCTTCACTGCCCCAGCCATTATGCAGGCCTCTGCTCTGCGTTCTCATGGAACAGTCTGCTCCCTGCCCCTGCCTTCGCCATACCTTCTGAATATCCCCCTAAAACCTCCCATCCCTTTTCTTCAGATCAAACCTGTGGTGCTATTCAGGGAGTAAAATACAAATTAGCCATCCCTAAGTCATCTTCCATCTTCGAATCTTTCCCTGGACATAGCAGCTTATTTCTGTGGATAGGCCTTTGCTCATGGCATCCGCCTCCTGGAAGGCCATTTCAAATTCTGTCTGCGTAAATGTTGGGTTAGGCTGGCACCGAGGCACGGAAGGGCACCCATTCCCGCCAAGCTCCTACCGAGTGCTGGGCAGCACCCCTGCTGCTTTAGCTTTCACGATTCCATTCATTCCTCACAACCTGGCAGGATGAATTTTCCTTAATAAGCCACTTAGACCAGGTGACACCAGCAGATGATAAACAAGATTCAGGCAAAACAAATACAACGAATACAATGTTATATGTCAATGATATTGTAGTAAAACTGGGCAGGGAGAAAATTCAGGCATATAGAAGGGCAGACAGTAGAAAGTCAGTCTCTCTCCCCTAGACCCTAATTCCTCTCCCTGGAGGCAACTACTGTAACTACTTTTAGGGTACTCTTCCATGGATAGCCTGTACATACATCCCAACATTCTTTTTAAATATACAAATGGCAGCACATTATAATGCTGCTTTTCACCCTGCTTTTTCACTTAACAGTGGATCTTGGTAACTATTCTTTATGGGTAAGTACACAGCTCCTTCACTGTTAATGCCTGGGCGGTGTCCCTGGGTAAGCCATCCTTCCCAGGTGGGCTCCGGCCTGTTGCCATCACAGCCATGAGCAGCACCTGCCCTTGTGTGTACTTCTCTGTGAGTAGATGCAAACATATCCATCAACGTGTCTTGGAAATGGATCCTGGGATCACAATCAATGCACATTTAAAACTGTGGCGAGCTTGGCAAACTGCTCTAAAAAGGGGTCGTGAAGATACTGGTTCTTTAGGCCCATTTTACAGATGTGGAAGCTGAGACTCAGGGAGAGGTTAGGGAGTTTATCCAAGGCCCTATCAGTAGCTGGTGGTTGCACTGTGTTTCATACCAGCTCTTTGCTGGATGCCAGGGCCTTGAGTAGAAGCAGAGGGTTCATGGGGACCCTGTGTTCCTGGCGTGCTCTCCTGGGCGAGCCTCCAGGTCTCCTCTGCTTTTCCTTTGGTCAGCTTAACCAGATTCCGCCTCTCCACAACCAGCAGATGTGGGTCATCGACATGGTGTGTCTCCACAACATGAACCTGGTTGCAATTGCGTCTACTGACCAGAAGATAGGTGAGCCCCTGGTGGCTGCCCTGGCGTGTTCTCGGCCATTGGGAGTCATGCATTTATTTGCACTTGGAGAGGTCTGTCGCCGAGCCGGCTGTGAGCATGGATTGCCTCTCCTTCTGTCTCTTCCCAGAGTTCTTTGATATTGGTAACTATAAGTGTGTCCGGGCCTTCACCTTCGTTGACCTAGACAGCTGTGTCCTGGTCATGGACTACTGGTGAGTGTCATGGGAGATCAGTGAAGGTTTTGGCAGTGGCCACATCACTTGGTGGGGTTGGGACACCCAGAAAGCCTCCCCGGAGGCAGCCCTGGATTCCCGCCCTGCATGACTGTGTCCCCTCCCCCTCGAGCTGCTTCTCTATTGGGGTCACCTTTCATAGTCACTCAGTCCTCAGAGTCATTGTCGGCCCCTCTTCCTCTCCCTTCTCAGCCTAGTCAGTTCTCAAACCCTGGCAGAGGCTTGTCCTGCTGTGGCTGAGGACTCTGGGAACGTCATGGTCCATCAGTAGGATGACTTGACAAAGAGCAGCTGGAGGACCAAGGATTCGTTTATTTTGTTTTTAAAAAATATCGATTTCTTTTGGACCTGGTTCACCAATGGTCTTGATCTGGGTGGCTGGGCTCATGTTTGTCAGCTGTTGAAGGCAAGGTTGAAAAGTCGTGTGGGAACTGCCCTCCCTCCCCAGGTGGATGGAGGTGTCAGAGGCCAGGGAAGAAGTGGAGGACTGTACCTGGGTGTGCCCAGCTGACTCCATGGCCTCTTCTGTCTCTGTCTTTTCCAGGTCCGACTATCATCGAGGTGTGTTCTGCTTTGGGGACACCAAAGGCAACGTCATTGTCTTCACCTCTGAAAATGTGGTCAATGGGTTGTTCAACCCCCGAATCCTCCCCAGGACCTCCAAATGGGGTAGCTAAGATGCCGGGGAAGGGGGGGAAATGATTCTGCCCTGGGGTGCTCTTCCCTCTCCCCACTCCTCTGCTTAAGAGCCCCTGGGAGGGCTGGCTCTTTCAGAAGCTCAGGCAGCAGGGTACCCACATGCTCAGCTCAAAGCAGCCTGTGGGGAGATGGGGTGACAGCAGGAGACGAAAGGGGACTGAGGAGACGGCAATCTCTCTGAAGGTGGGTGGTCGCGTAGGTAAGGGCCAGGGAGGGTGGGGCTTCAGGATCATCCTCACCTCAGGGAGACTAAACCTCTGCCAACTGTGTGACCCTGGAGAAGTCACTCACCTGCTCTGGGCCTTGGAATGATGGTGCTAACTCCCTCCATGGTTGTGAGGAGGGTTCTGCTTCCCTTGGCTATGAGCTGTCTTTGGGTGGGTAGGGGTGGCGTAGAGAGGCTGCCCTGAGAGTGGGCTCTGTGGAGCCTGGCTTCACACAAACATGAATAAGCACAGTCACATTTATTGAGCGCTCATGTGCTGAGCACTTTGGGCACAGGACCTCCTACAAACCCCACCCATTGCTAGGAGGGAGCTGCTGTTGTCACAGCCCATTAAGAGAGGAGGAGCAGAGGTTTAGAAGGGTGAATCATTTGCATAGGACCCACAGTGGATAAGTGGCAGTGGCTGCTGAGATCTGAGGCAGGCAGCCTGGCATTTGAATCACTTGCTGGGCTGTCTGTCTGCCAAACTGACTAAATGCTAAAGGATGCTGTTTGGAGATGCTCTGACACGGGGCATTAGATCCTGAGTTCCTAGGGCTTAGGGCAGTTGGGGAGTCATCTGATGTGGAACCTGTTCAGGATCGAACTGTCAATGCAGTGTTGGGCCTCCAGACTGTCCCAGTGCATCTAGAGGAAGCCGAGGCAAACAGGGGCCCCAGCTCACTCCATCCATCCAGGATTCCAGAGCAGCCCCTTGGGCTTCCAGTCCGTTTCTGAGCAGGACACTCCAGGGGCTCCTAGACCTTGGTGACACCTCCTGACAAGCTTGTTGGGGCAGCGTCTCTCACTAGCCAGACAGAAAATGGATCCTGCCCTGGACACAGCAGTGGGCTGGCACCCTGCTAAGTCCTTGCCTCATCAGCTTCTACCTCTGGTGCTAGTCACTCTTTGCCACCCTGGGAATTGGCACGGTAGGAAGGTTGTGATGGTCTGTGAGGTGAGGAAGTTGGAGAAGTAGCAGAAGAAGCTGGAGTTGGACGCGAGTCCTTCCATGCCATGTACTGACTGAAGGCTGGGGACAAACATAAAGGGAGCCCAGCAGTGTGTTGACTTGGGAAGAGTTGGAAAGACTAGCTCTGTGTGACGTCAAGCTAGCTGCTTAACCTCTCTGTGCCTCAGTTCCTTCATTCAAATAGGAATGAACATGCTCAGTTCATGTCTTTGCTATAAGATAAAAGGAGAGCGCACAGTGTAAGGCACATAAGTGCCCAATGACTGCTTACCCTGCCTCCCAGCCTAGTGGGCGCAGCAGGCAGGCTGACATGCTAACTAAGCCCAGCCCAGAACTAAGCTTCCCACCTCCTGTGCCCGTGCAGAGCCTGCCCCACGTTAGCTACTTGAGTAACACTCCACCCCTTGGGACTTCCTTTTCAAGCTTCCTCCAAGTTGTGGCTGGTGACTTTGCAGCAGTGAAATGCTTGGCATAAGACCCCAGATCTCCCCTCTCTTTTCTCCATTTTACCTGGCAGTTTCTCAGGCTACCTCCTGAAACCCTGCTTTGCAGGTAGAATCCTGCTTGTCCCCTGCCATCGCTGGCTCCACCTGTCTGTGCTTCATCAGGGGCCTGAGAGTGCTTCTCTCGGAGGCTCCTCAGCCACCTGCCATGGGAGGTTTCAGCGGCCAGGAGACTCTAAGCTCCACGAGGGCAGGGCTGTGCCCAGTGCCATTGCCTCTGACATGCTTGTTTTATGATGCATATATGAAATTTTCCTTGGAACTTGTGTTCACTGGGCAAGGGGGCATGTAATTTGACGCATGACAGCAAACTCCCAAATGATTTTCCATTTATTTCCATAATGAATAGAGCCTAGGATCCCAATGCATTCAGCACTCCAGCAAAGTTGGAGGTCCCTGATGGAGTATCAGCTGGTTTAGATTGTAGCAGCTGGGGAGGGTGAGAGGCCTGGAAATCTGGTTCCAGCTCTGCCATGAGCTGGTACGAGAACTTTGAGCAGTGATGTTAATCTGTTAGGTTTATTTTCTTGGTGTTGTGTTCACCCCCACTGATGTCACCAGAACACATGAGGCTCGAACTAGTATTTGGATGGAAAAGCCTTTTGAGAGGCATGAGAGTTGCAAACCAACTCAAGGTGTCTTCTGAGGTTTTGCTCATCTGGCAAAGGGGGGAGAACTGGTGACATGGACCTTGGTTTTCTTCTCTATCAGATACCTGGATCATTGTTTCCATGCGGAAGCTCTTAAATGAGAAGTCTCCTTTGTATAGAAGTTACCGGCTGAAGGTAAACTGTAGCTTTCCTTGGCCTGTTACATAGTAATTATCTGTACATAGACCCCTCAAAAATAAATAGGAGAGTGGATTTGCCCCGGGGTTCAGTCTTAGGACTAAGGGCTTGGTCTCTGGGAACGGGGTGGAAGCAGCTGTTGATCCTCCCAGCTCTTACTGTATCTCAGATGTGGCTCTCTCTCTGCTTTCATTGTTCAGCCCTGGTCTGGCAGACACCACCTCTCTCCTGGATGGCTACCAGCTGTTTCCCTATGTCCTTCCACCATTCAGTGCTTTCTCCATTCCTCAGCCAGAGGAATTATGAAATACAGTCATGTCACGCTTTTGCTCACAATCCTCCAGTAGCTTCTCTCTGAAACACACTAGGCCTTTTTTCTCCTCAGGGTCTTAACACATGCTGTTTCTTCAGGCTGCCAAGCTTCTCTTCTAGGTACCTGGATGCCTTCCTCTCTGCTTCCTTCAAGTCTCTAACCCCACCTGGAACAGGCCTGCTGCCCGCCTCCACCTTTATCTCTTCACCCTGCAATTCTTAGGATTCTGACACCAAATACAATGTGTTTCTTTTCCTGCACTACCCCGGAATTCTCCAGCATGAGCTGGGTGTCCTACAGTTCAACGCGGATAGCGTCAGTTCCTACAGGTTAAGGGACGGTTCCACAAGCCTGTCCCCCACTTCAGATGCCAGTCACAAGTCCAGGTTTTTACTTGTGCTTCTGACCAACGGCTATAGAAAGGAGGTTCTCACCATCCCATCCCTCCTTGGGTTTGATTGATTCGCTAGAGCAGCTCACAGAACTCAGAGAAACATTTTACTTACTAGAGTGTGGATTATATTATAAAAGGAACAGCCAGATGGAAGAGATGCATAGGGCAAGGTATGTGGGAAGGCACTGGGAGATTCCGTGCTCTCTGCCCTAATCTCCATGTGTTCACCAACCCGAATGCTCTCTGAACTTTTTATGGAGGCCTCATTACATGGGCCTGATTGATTAAATCATTGGTTATCGGTGACCGAATTTAACTTCCAGCTCCTCTCCTATTCCTGGACTGAAAGTGTCAATTCTCCAGTCACATGGTTGGTTCCCCTGGTGACCAGCCCCCATCCTTAGGTGATTTTCAAAAGTCACCTCCTTAACATAAACTCGGTCATGGTTGAGAGGGGCTTGTTATGAATATCAAGACTCCTTTATAGCTCATCGCATAGGAAAGTTCCAAGATTTTAGGAGCTCTGTGACAGAATTGGGGACAAAGATCAAATATATATATTTCTTATTATAAATCACAATATCACACCTTTGTACTATCACCAATATTGACACCTTTGTATTTTCTATCCATTGGTTTCTTGTCCTGTCGCTCTTATGAGATTGACAGCCCCTTGAAGACAGAACTTAGCATGTTCTGTTTTCTGTTCTGTCTCTTGTGCCTGGCCTTGGTGGGCTTCCAGGACATTTGTTGAACAAATGAATGAATCTGACACTCAGGGAAGTCTGAGTCAGATGGTCCCACCTGCTTCTTTTTGAGCAGGTGGGGTTGTTCAGGCCCTGGGAGCCTCTCAGGAAGAGTCACACACTAGCACTTCTTTTTTCTGTGTTTTGTGGGAATCTTTTCTTGGGCTTCGTTTCCCTGTAAGTTGCTAAGTGTCCCAGGTTCCATTCAGTGCCTTGGATTGGAGCCTTCTCTGTGATACTCAGTGAAACAGTGCATGTAAAACCTAGCTCAGTGCCTGATGACTCCTCCAACACACTTCTTCCAATCTTGTCCCAGGGAGGAAAATCATTGGATTGGGAGGCCAAGCATGAGGTCTGATCACAGTCCTAGAGCCAGAGAATTCAGAGCCTGTCCAGCCAGGCCACCCCCTTGACCTATAGATCTTGACCTTTGTTGCCCAAGTTGCACCAGATAACATACTCCACACCGTGTCCTGACAAACATGGAGGGCAGCGGTGGGGCCAGTAAGCATAGGTTAATCTGTGGGGGGCTCCTATGGGTAACAGGGACCGTGGGCTACACACACTCTAATCCATCCCTTCTCCTACTGTAGGATAAAATAACAGGCAATATTAGTATGGGCCTGATTGCCTGTCCTCTAAGTTATAAATAAGAATTCATATGATAGCAGGCTTGAGTGCTTTTAAGCCTTTTCACTGGCAATCGATGGCCACACACCTCTAGTCACCCCTAGTCACAGGACCTGGGCTAGGGCTGCAGGCCGTATCACTTTGTCAGAGCTGTGATCACTAGAAAGGCATTGGACTTAATGATCTCCAGGTCCCTCCAGCCCCAATGCCTGCCACATTCTGGGGGCTGGGCCTACAAGGCTGTCACTGGGTTGAGTCTGCTACCTTTGCCGCTCTCTTTCCAGGCTCTCCATTCCAACTGGTGTCAACAGGTCAAGTTCATTCCCCAGATGAACCTGGTGGCCTCCTGTTCGGTCATCGACAACTCCTCTTTGGTGCTGACAATATTGCCATCCAAAACTCCCAAGAATCCCAAGTAAGAAGCACCTTTCATCAGGCTAAGTTGGTGGGGCCGGGAAGAAGGTGAGTGGTGGCAGTGCCTCAGAGGCCCGGCTTCGCTTCAGTAGCCTGTGGCCATCCCTGCCAGGGATGGGTTCACCTTGGGGACCTTTGGCGCTTCTAGTGGGGCGTGGTGGGATGTCGCTTGGAGCTGAACTGCTGAGGTTCTGCTCTGGTGGTAGTACTACCTCATATCTGTGATGCGTGTTTCATTCAGCTTCCGGTTTCCTCGGGTCTCACAGCAGGTGGCTATCGGTGTGATCACCTCACTGTGGCCCTGAGGCCCTCTGTGGTCTGGCCCTGCTGCCTTCCTGATCACACCTTTCACCTTCCTACAGCAGGCAGTAGGAAGGTGAAGGTGCTGGCATGCTCCTGCCCCAGGGCCTTTGCACTGCTCCTCTCTGCCTGGTATGCTCTTTTTTAAAATAATAGTTTTTGTTTTAAAACATTTTTATTATGAAAAATTATAGAGAAAATAGTATAATACTTTAGTATCATTAGTACATAGTCTAAGTTAATCTTTCCTCAAGTGCTTCAAAAATGCCTTTTCACAATTATTTGGAATTAGATATAAACAGGGTTCTAGGATGATTTCGAGCAGAGGAATGTTGAGGTCTGACGCGTAGGACTGACTGACTGGCTGCTCTGTGGCAAGTAGAATTACGTAGGCAGGAGTGAAGATGGGGACATCAGTGAGAAGGCCATTGAAATAATTCAGGGTACCTATGATGGTGGCCTGGAGTTGGCCCGTCGGTTGGAGATGAAAGGACCTGAGATGTATTCTGGGGGTAGGTTGGAGAATATACATGTGTGCACATACACCTTTTCTTCCTGTCTGAGTGCAGCACACATACTGGATGGTAAATGGCACCTTTGACCGCTGCTGGTTTCCTGGTTTTTGGCTGTGTGGCCTCTTAGGGCGTGGTCTCTGCAGGTGGGGCATGGCATTGCTGACTCAAACTCTGCCTCTGGAGTTGGCCTCGGCCTCCAAGGCAGGGTGGGCTGGAGGGTCTGGCGGCCAGCTGATCTGAGGGCTTCAAGTGATTGGAACCAACAGTGAATCTGATGGAGGAGCCAGGGCCTAGGTGAAAGGGTCCTGTGCTGAGTGTGTGGACTAACTTACAGCATCTCGCCTGCCTCCCCCCTCTTTTCTCATTTCTGCCACCACCACCTGGTTGAAACCGCCCTCATCTACCACGTGAACGGCTTGCAGTGGCCTCTTTGCTGTGTCCCTTCTGTCCTTCCAGGCCCTTCTCTGCACCGAAGCCATCTGCAGACCTGGTCTCTTTCAGCTATCCTGTCGAAGCCACCTGTTGATTTCCCTGCAGGACTTGCCATGATCTGTAAACGTCCTTCTCCCTGTCTCTGCTCATTTACTTGCTCACGATGCTTCCCTCCGGAAGGAAAGTTGCCTGAAGGCTGGGCGTCATGTCCACGCCTCTGGTGATCCTGGCAGGGCACAGGAGCCAGTAACTCTTTGTCGAATGAATAAGTGGATCAGCCAGAAATAATTTCTAGTAACATTTTGTGACCGTTCTTCCAGAAGATTTCTCTGCATATATTTGTGCGGAGAAGGGTGTATCTGATCTGACAATAAATGAAATTCATGCATTCGATAGGTCTTGAAATTTTGATTTCTCAAGGAATCCCGGCTGCGGAGGGAAGAGCAGATTGGAGGAGAGCAAGACCCGGAAGTTACGAGGCCGGCCAGGCAGCTGACACAGAGATGAAGTGGGATGCTGAGGCCAGGGCTGTGGTGGGACGTTGGATGTGGGGTCTGACTAGATAATGGGAATGCAGGAGAGGAAGCCTCCAGGATGACACTGGGGTAACGGGTGTAGGTCCTCAGGGTGTGGTGGAGGAGCCAGTTCAGAGGCAAGTTCAGTGGGGAGCATGTTGCATTAGAGGGCTGGGGTGCCTACAGTGGGGGCCTTTGAATTGAGATTTTAAAAAATTAAATTTATTGCGGTTACATTGGGTAATGAGATTATGTAAATTTCAAGTATACAATTCTATGATGCGCCATCTGTATACTGCACTGCGTGCTCACCACCCGAGTCAGGTCTCCTTCCACCGCCACGTCGTGCACTTGACCCCCTTTACCCTCTTTAACCTCTCCCACCCCTCTCCCCCTCTGGTAACCACCGTACTGTTGTCTGTGTCTGTGAGTTTTGTTTTTTTGTTTTGTTTGTTTGTTTGTTGTTCTATATCCCACATATGAATGAAATCATATGGTTCTTGTTCTTTTCCATTTGACTTCTTTTGCTTAGCATGACATTCTCAAGATTTATCCATGTTGTCGCAAATGGGAGTATTTCATCTTTCTTATGGCTAGGAGTAGTAGTCCATTAAATGTATGTACCACATCTTCTTTATCCATTCATCTGTTGAAGGATACTTAGATTGTTTCCATGTGTTGTGTATTGTGAATAATACTGCAATGAATGTAGGGATACATATATCTTTATGATTAGATGTTTTCAAAATTTTTGGTTAGATACCCAGAAGAGGGTGAATTTTGAAGGGAGAGTTTTGAGTAGAAGGAGCTGGCAGCGCGGGATGTGTAGATAATAGAGAATAGCATGTGCAAAAGCACTGAGCTTCCAGGACTCGTGGGCCGACGAGGGCTGTTGGGCTTGACCTTCCCAGAACCCCTGCCCTGGTTACCCTGGCTCTCCTGAGCCCCATCCAGCCCTGCTGCACCTCTTCCTTTCCTGGAGCTGAGCCTCCTGCCCAACCTGGCTCTGAATCCTGATCCCTTACCTTGCCAGCCATGTGGCCTTGGGCAAATTCCTTAACTTCTCCTTTCCATGTCCTTATCGTGGCACAGGCCGATGACCCTTTTCAGGGTTGTGCGAGGGGTCCAGGTGATGTACAAGACTGCACTTAGCACTGTGACCAGCATGGAGAAGGGGCATGGTGCCCAGGAGCTTTTTTCCCTTCCTTCTGGCCCTGGAAACCCCTCCTTATTTATTTATTTATTTTTATTTATTTTATTTGTGTTGTGGGTTGGGGGCAGGGGGCGGACACCTATCCCACTAAAGTTGAGATGAAGATCAAGTGAGATTTGCCCTTGCAATGAGGCAAATGTATTACTACTGTAAGTAGTTACTCCTGCTTTGGGCTGCTCTCACCCATGGTGAGAGGTGGGCGCCCCCTCCAGGAGGGGGTAGTTTGGGGCTGAGACCCAAGGTCCTGACTCAGCTGCAGGGTGAGCCCTGGGCAGGGTTTCTGGGGCTGCTCTTCTCCTTGGGTGAAGAGGTAGTGACTTTTCCTGCCTCCCCCCAGCCCTGTCTGTAGCTCTTCCCCACCCCAGGCTCAGAGGCTCCCCTGAGGCCACTCCCAGCCCACAGCCATCCCTCTTTGCTGTTGTAGGTTTTCAGTGCTGAACTTAAGAAAAGGGATTCTTTGCTTTGATTACTGCCCAGACAAGAATTTCTTGGGTAAGTAATCTTCATGTCATACAGAAGCAGCTGGCCTGGCAGAACTGGGGTGAGGGCGGCTGGGGACGTGGGAAGCATCAGGGCCGAGGAGAAGGCCCTGCAGCCTCTAGCCTCTTTCTGGCCTCCTCTCTTGCCACTCTGGTCCCTACTCATGGGCACCTGGGGTGGCATGGTGACACATGCTCTGCTTGGCATGGTAGTGGAGGGGCCTGGGTGGGAGAGGCAGAGGAATGGATGGTAGCATAGCCCACCCTGCCATCTGCCAGGCTTGGCTGGGGTCTGAGGCCTGGCCTCAGGAGAAGGTCCCAGTGTGGGCCCCCAGCGGCTGATATTCATTTTTCGATTCCAGTAACTGGTGGCTATGACCCTGTCATCCGCCTGTGGAACCCTTTCTTCTCGAAAAAGCCTGTGTGGCTGATGAAGGGTCATCAGACCTCAGTGACGCACATCCTGGTGAACAGCAAGTGCAGCAGCATCCTCTTCAGCATCTCCAAGGACAAGGTGCTGCCTCGTGGGACACCAGTTCCTGTTTCATGGCAGAGATGCTAGCCTTGGGATGATGACGTAGCTTGGCCAGCCAGGGGGCCAGCAACTAGAAAAGCCTGAGGCCCAGGGGAATGGCGTGATCTCCCCGCCCATGGTCTCACACCTGGTCTAAGTCCTAGAGGGAAGTGCCCCATGTGGAGAATGAGGAGCCAGCCTGAGCCCAGCTCTAAGCGGTCCAGCAGAGCTGGCTTCATGGGTGCCCAGCCTTGCTGCTTGCTTTGTGGTCCTGTGCAAGGCCTTTCTCTTTTCTGAGTCTCAGTCTCCTCATCCACAGAATGAGTAGAGTGGTTTAGAGAGCTGGGGGTGAAAGAGCAGTGTCATGTCTGGCACATAGTAGGTATACAATACATGGGAGCTCTTCCCCCGCCCTCACCCTTCCCTTAGAACCAAATGTGCACCTCTCGCTCTCCTAGCGACCCCTTCTCGACGGCCTTGGCTGTCAGGAACTAACCGGGACTTTCCTCAATGTCCAGGGATCCCCAGCTCAGGGCCCCAGTCCCTTTGCTCTTCTGCATCTCTTGGTTCGGGGTACTGGGCGGCTCTGGCCAATGAGGGGATGCAGCCATCGGTTCCGGGTGCCCTCTTTCAGGGGACAAGTTTGAAGTCAGTAACTGAGAATTGGCAGGACCCTTCTGGTCACCCAGGCTACCCTTCCCAACATATCGTCACACCTGCTATTGTCTGGAATTCTCCTGGCAGCCCTGGGCATCATGGCCCCTGCTGAAGATTCAAGGCTGGAGCGGGGAGGGGACAGGGACTAGCTTGCTGAAATCCTCACGGTCAGCGATGGGCAGAGCCAGGGTGTGGACTCCAAGTCCATGCCTTTCCATCTGGCTGCCCATGCCTTTGAGCCATGAGCATCATGGTAGGGCTTCCCTGAGGCCTTTCTAGGGATAATTCCTCAACTTGGAATGAGCTTGAGGGGGCTTGGTTGGCCTTTGGGGAACAATATTGGTAACCGCTCTCTGTGTCTTTTTTTTTTCCTTTACCCACTTCACACTCCCCCTATTTCCCTATATTTGACCCCCTTTACCCTGTTCACCTCTCCCCTCCTCCCGCACCCCCTACCCTCTGGTAACCACTAGTCCATTGTCCATGTCCCTGAGTCTCTGTTTGTCCTGTTCAATTGTTGCTTTTAGGTTTATATCCCACACATAAGTGATCAGCATGTGATTTTCAACTTTTTCTGTCTGGTTTATTTCGCTTAGCAAGGTTATCTCGAGGTCCATGTTGTCGCAAATGGCAGTATTTCATCTCTTCTTATGTCTGAGTAATAATAGTCCATTGTATACATATACCGTAGCTTCTTTAGCCAGTCATCTATCGTAGGACACTTTGGTTGCTTCCATGTCCTGGCCACTGTGAATGATGCTGCTATGAACACCGGTGTGCAAATATCTTTTTGGATATGGGTTTTCAAGTCTTTGGGGTAAATACCCAGTAGTGAGATTGCTGGATCAGAAGGTAGATCAATTCTTAGTGCTCTCTGTATCTTACCTGGCTTTGCTTGAGGAGGTTGGAGTGGGAGCTGTGAGGGTCTGTAGGGTCACATGCTGCCTTGCTTGGTCCTCCACCATTGAGCGCCCACTGCTCGAGCAGGGTAGAGGCCCTGGCGGAAGGCTGGGGGTGAGGGGAAGAGAGCTGGGCCTCAGTTTTCTCATCTGAATGTGAGAACATCTCTGTTGTAGGGTCATGATCCACGGCAGACACTTAGCGTAGTGAATGTTCTTTGGAAGTGCTTGCGCCGTGTGCCCCTGGCCCTGCTCACATCCCAAGGCCTCCGGTGCCAGCTGCATCTCAGCCTCTTTGCCTGTTTCCTACCCCTCAGAATATCCGCGTGTGGGACATGCAGGACTACATATGCCTCCAGTCCTTCTGCGGGAAGCTTTTTGCCTTGGGAAACTTCCCCATCACCAGCGCCTATTTCCACAAGAATGACAACACCCTCATCTGCAGTACCTATTCAGTGAGTGCTGCGCAGGAAGGAGGTGGCGTCGTGGCTGCCTGTGGAGGGTGGCCACACTGGCAGGGGACACATATGTCAGCTTGTGCCCTTGGCTGGCTCTCCCCAAGATGGCAGATTTCTCGAGAAGGGGGGTTGTGTATTTCTTAATCTCTGATGAATGCCAGACTGGCTGCCAGCATTCGTTGAATTAAGTAGATCTTTGAAGTTTATTTCTGGTCATCAAACATTATCAGCCCCCTGCTCTTTGTTAGGAGCAGAGAATATATTCATTGTACACTGTCCCATCCCTTCAGGAACCTATGGTGGAGAGGAAAACAGATAATTTCAGTAGAAAATGCAATGTATTATGATGGAGATGTATGCTAGGTGCTTCATGGAGCACAACGAAAGGATCCTTAGCCTATTCTGGGGTGGGGTAGTCAGGGAAGGCTTCCTGGAAGAGGGGATACCAGATTGAGGCTTTGTGTTTCTCAGAAGTTACAAGAGGGACCTTGGACTTTGGGGTTCTAGGAACACTTGGGTATAGGAGCCCTGATCTCAGGAAGTGGGGAGCCATGAAATAGGGGTGAAAGGTCTCAGCAGGCATGCTGAGGAGCCGAGGGGCCATGCTGAGCCAGCGTACAGTCAGGATGTGTTGACGTCTCAGTTTATTGGAAGTTTCTCCCTGGGGCCAGTCACTGAGGGCAGAGTCCTTTGGACTGTCCAGCTGTCTGCCCCTCTCCTTACTACAGATTGGGATCCTTAAAGGGTACATGGAGACCGAAGGGCCTGAGAAAACTGGAGAGAGGAGCACGACTTATGGCACGCCCCTGTGCGCTGTCCACTACAGCAAGATTTTTAAGCAGGTGAGTGGGTTGGAGCTGGTCTCTGGGGCTAGCGGGAGTGCCGGGTGACATGGGGAAGGACCCAGACCTCCAGATGTGTCCAGATTCAAGGGGCGGTCAGCTCAGGGGCAGGGTGGCGTGGAACTCTCACAGCTGCGACGGTGGTCGGGGCAGCAGTGTGAGGACAAGGAGTCTGAGGGGCTAGCCCGAGATGAAACTGGAGCCCTACCACTTGGTTAGCAGATTGTCTCACTCCTCTGAGCCTGCGCACCCCTGGCTGCTGCCTCAGGTCGGCTCTGGATAGTGAGGCTTCTTTACACAGGGTGTGAGATAGAGCACTAGGGGTGGGCTGCTCTGCAGGTTCCTGGGGTAGGGGTGCTGTTCCTGGGCATCATTTTCCAGGGAAGCCCTACTTCAGCTTCGTCCACTGTGGGAAGGGAGGGAGGCTCAGGGCGCGGGCAGCACCCTAGTCCTGAGTAGAGACCTCTGGGCTGGGCAGGGCAACTGGGCACATGGTGTGGGCACATGATTTTTGAGGTATGGGGACAGAAAGGGCCCTCGGGCTTTCTGCCCACTTCCATTGAGACCCCGTTTCTGTCCTGGGCTCTGGGCAGGGCAGGCTGTGTCTCCTGTAGAGGTGGCCTTGGTCCACACGAAACCAGAGCTCGCCTCTCAGCACTTCTCGCTCATCCTGGCTCCTGGCACTGTCATCCTGCCTACCTTAGGGCTCTTCGGTGCCTTCAAGCAATTTGAACACCCACACCCTCCAACTATTTTGATGTCCTCAGCAGGAGGGTTGGTGTGAAACAGCCTCACCTGCTACTGTTGCACCTTAATCCTTGTAAAGGCAACAAATGTCACATTGAGTGGAGTGACCATCTTGGCTCTCGACACTCCCCTTCTTAGGCTGCAATTAGTCTATTTTGTGTGTTTTTTCCTCCATGAGTAAAGATTAGTTAACAAATGTTTTTTTTTTTTTCTGAGTTAGAGATTATTTTCTCTGCTCAGATCCTGATAAATGCCATTTCTGAATTAAAGCGTTTACCGCACCAACTCCTTCTAAAAGAGTTGTGCCATGTTGCATTGCCTTGTGCTACAGAGTAGAGGAAGAACCGTTTTCAAGAGTGGCTAATCCTACAGCAGGGGTCCCTGAATGCCTGTCTTCCCAGTGTATGGAGGTGTGGCTGGGTTAGCCTCAGCCATGACAGATGGGGACCGCCTTTGGGAATGGGGGCACTCTCCTATGCATGAGCCCCAGCCATGTGCTCCCCTGCAGGTGGTGAGTGGCTGCATGAGAGGCATGGTGAGTGTGTGGGAGATCGTGACAGGCAAGAGGATGATGGAGTTCTCAGTGACCGGTGACCAGCACGTGGAGCTGACTGCCATGTCCCTGGATGAATCTGAGCGGTGCCTGCTCACGGGTTTGCGTGACGGCACCATAAAGATGTGGAACTACAGCACTGGCGAATGCCTGCTGACCTTCCCCAACCCGGACAAGCTGGAGGTCAGTCTGGTCCATCAGCTGGGGCTGGGGGGCTCTTGAGAAGCAAAGCACAGCTCCTGTGACCCTGGAACCCACTATTTTTTATGCCTCCCTGAAAGGCTGTGCACAGAGACTGCCTAGCTTCATGCCTCCCTGAGCCTTTGTGTCCCTGCGTATAGATAGGGAGTGGCATCTGTCCTTAACAAGTATTTGACAAATGTTAGCTACTCTTGCTTTTAGTTCATTATCACTTCTTACCCCACATATGAGAACTTGGGATAGCATTTCCAGCACTGGCATCGGGTGATTCGGAGCCACCTATGCTTACCCCTATTTAAGAAATGCCTAACGTGGTTATAGGGGCAATCTGTGAGTGTGGCATTGAGCAAAGCCAGCCGTTCTACTTCGGGACTTTAGCTCATCAGTACTCCCTATGGCACAGTCCTTTAACTCACTCAGAAGGAGCAGCTGGCCAAAAAGCCAGTGGTTTGAGTACTGATCCAGATCCGATCACTCAGTCATTTGACCTTAGCCAAGTCACTTGTCTGTTTTCCAGTTATCTCCTATAAAATGGACATGGATACTTACCAAGCTGCTACTTCCAAAGCCACTAAGTGAGATAATAAGATGTGAGAGTACCCTGGGAAATATATGGTATCACCTCTAGGGAATTCCCATCACATGGAGAGCTTTGACTTCTTGCTTGTTACATTAGGAAGACATTCATGACCCGGTGCCATCTCTGAGGTGCCTTAGTGTTCTGTTTTCTTTTACCTTCAACAGATTAGTGGGATCGTCCATATGAACAAAGTGTTCTACGTGACGGGGTGGAGTAAGAGAATCACTCATTTCATGTGCGTAGCAAGGGTGCGTGTGGGTAGATGAGGGCATCTGACTATCCTCTCTACTTCAGATGGGTTCTTCCATTCCTAGCTTTGGTGGTGGTTGGAACATCAAGCAGGAGATTAGTGGTGGGTGATGCCCAATACTTCATCCGCTCATCCATCCATTTATTCATCACTCCTTGAGACTAATATATTCTAGCCAGGTGCTGGGTATGAGCATAAACCAGTCTCTATCTCGCCTCCTGGAGCTTCTACGGGGGATGCAGATGCTAATCAAATAACTTCATTTATCATGATAAATTCTATGGAGTGTAGGTTTCTATGGAGGGGAGACAGAAATTTGGTTTAGTCTCAGGCATGGTCAGAAAAGCTCATCCGAGGATTTCGTGGATGGAATGGGATTTGAAACATGAACAGGAGGGGTCTCAGTGAAGCGGTGAAAGGCTTGGGACAGGAGGAATATTCCAGGTAGAGGGAAACGTGTGTGCAAGGCCCCTTCCTCTTTGGAAGGCCTTTCTAAGGCCAGGCTTTCTCCTTCTCTAAACCTGAATCCTTACTCAGGTGCCTGATTCTGTTAGATTCGTTTATATAAAGCCCCAGGACAGGGCTTTTATAGTAGGCACATTATAGGTGCTTAGTAAATGAGGTCAGTGAGGCAGAGCATCAGCCCTGTTCCAGCACCTGAGTGTCTCCCTGTGAGTCAGTGTTCTCCCCATGTGGGCATCAAGGCTGAGCTCTCAGTCCTCCTGCCTCTGGCCGTGTGTGCAGGTTCCACAAGACCAAGCCGGTGCTCCTGTGCTACCACTGGCAGACCTTCCACAGGGAGGATGTCCTGAGCATGGCCAAGTACCAGAACCAGTTCCTTGGGACTTCTTCTTACAACGGGGACATCATCTTCTGGAACGTCAACATGTTCAAGCCCATCCTCAAATTCAACGCCTCCGAAAGCCCCTTGCCCTTGCTCCCTAAGAGGGTATGGTCAACAGGATCATGCTTCCCTTTCATCTTTCTCTCAGTTGTGGGCCAGAATCACGTGGGGCCTGGGAGGTAGGGAGCAGCTTGAGAAGTAGAGGGGACATTGGTGACTTGTTCTGGAGGAGCTTGAGACCTCGGTAGGTAGGTGGTAGTTTCTATAATTATCCTCATTTGACAGATGAGGAAACTGAGGCACAGAGAGGTTAGGCATCTCGCCTAAGGTCACACAGCCAAGAAGTGATAGATCAAACCCAGACAGTCTGACTCCAGGGCCTGGGGGAGCTAATCTCGTTCTCTCCAGTAGATTATTCTCTCCTTGAAGGTGGATCACATCTTACCCATCACTACTACACATTATCACTCTAGGCTCACTAGGCTCATGGCAGAGACTTAGAAACTCATAGAGTCTCTCTGAATTACCTCTTTGCAGATTAAAACTGGAAGGGCTTTCGAAGTCACCTCATCCAGTAATTTCCATACATGTTGGGGAGAGGAGCTTGGAGACTATTGCAGAGCCTTCTCCCAGAGCAGCAGTTTTGTTGTTGTTGTTGTTGTTGTTTTTTAAATCTATTTTACACTTTGGAGCTTTCCTTAAGATTAAAAACAACCTTAAAAATTTGGAAACCACTGTCCATTTTAGAAACAGGGAGACTGAGTCCCTCAGGGGAGCAGTTTCCTGTGTGTGGGTACGGAGAGCATTAACAATTGGCCCAGGGAGAGGGTCAGAGGCTCTGGTTCAGCAAGGGTGCTCGGTTTTGGGGAGGCATGCCCTGGGCACCTGGAGGGCCCTGCGCTATGGGCATTGGGCCGGGGAGAACTTGCATGTTTCTCTGGGACATTGCTGTGCCCCAGGGGCTGCTCTCTCCCTGGCATAGGTGCAAGAAAGAGATGACTGCTCTCCGGAGAGCCACAGGCCCAGCAAGCCCTGTGAGGAGAAGTGGGCACATAAAACCTCCAGGTGGCCCCTGGGCCCCAGCACCAAGACTGCGACCAACACCCATCTGAGGAAGAACCTGACATCGGCACCCCCAGTGATGAGACACCACAGAGACAAGGAGCCAGATGGGCCTGCGTCTGTGAAGGTGGGAGCCAGAACCGAACCAGGCAGCCACCCTCACTCTATAGCCACCTGAGTCTGCCTCTGATGTGTTTGCTTTCTTATTCAGAGGTGCTTTCTCCAGAACACCTTTAGGTCTGTCAACTCACTTATCTTGAGCTTTTTGGACCAGGCAGGGCATCTCCCTGATTAGGCCCCTAGTATCTAATGCACTCTGCTGCCTCAAGCCTGGGCATAGTCCCTTCCCAGAGCACAGCCAATACCAGAATCGATGTCTACAAATCCAGAGAACCTACAGCAAGAGATTAGATCCTGGGCTGCTTTCTCAGTCCTCCAGCTCACGTTGCCTTGGCAGAGATGAGCCATGGGGCCGCCTACCTCCCAGAAGGCCAGACTCCCAGGTGCAGGCAAAACACTTCCCTCCTCCTTTGAGCCCTGGTCTCTGCCCTGTGATTAACCCTCCCAGGCTTGACTGATGGTCTTATTTTTTTGGGGGGGGAGAAGGGGCGGGGGTTAGGGAGAAAGAGCAGGGGCGCTATTCTCTCCCTACTCACCAGGGGTGGTTTGGCCTCAGACCCTACAGAGAAGATGTGATCTCTTGTGTGGAGCTTGGGAGCCAGTCATATTGTCTCCTCAATTGAAGTCTGATTCTTATTCCTGGGACCTGAGGCTTGAATGAGAAATTCCACCTTGCCCAAACACAGTATGCCCATCAGGCACAGGGCAATCTAGAACTGGATCTCACATGACTTGCTAGGATGCAGTTCTGCTGTAAGGTGCAGATAGTAGATATTTCTATAAGGCACTCATGCCATCTCTGAAGTATTGGGGTTACACCACTGCATTCAAATCTCCTAGAGCAATGGGTATATATCCCCTTTTATCCTCACCTTTAGCAACGGTATCACTTCTAGGACAAAGGAAGGATCTTCTCCAAAGACAAACTCAGGTCTCTGCCCTTAGAGCTTCTGTGTGTCTTTAGCTCCAAGATCCATTAGACTCCCAGCTATACCTTTTACAGGGTGGTGTATCTACTAAGTGGGGTTGGGGTGGCCACTCTTTCAACATCTGCCTCTGGTCTCTGTGCCCCCCTAGGGCAGAGAGACCCCCTTATGATGACCTGGGAGGCCCATTTTGCTTTCCAGAAACCTCTCAGCGCTGGCAGCGTCAAGCCGTTAAGTATGTCCTATGGCAGAAGGTCATTCCTCCAGGAGGCCGAAAGAAGACAAGGAGAATTGCAGAAGGAGATGCTCCTGAAGTTTAATACGTCGGTGGAGAAGGTCAGCCATGCTCAGGCAGGGTCTGGGGTGTGAGCCAGGGCTGAACAGTGGAACCGGGTTGGGAAATGCAGTGCTTTTGAGTTTGGGGGTCTGGGGCGGGGCAGCCTGGTTCCCTCCAGGGCCCGCAGAGGCATGATGATAATGGTACTGCTCAGGATTCTGGCTTCGGGACTACAGTGTCTGGGGGCAGCTTCTGGGTTGGGGAAGTGGTCTAGGAAGCGGAGCAGTGTCACCTCTTGGTTGCGGGGCTGGACTGGGAGGGAGGGGAAATGACATTTCCAGAATCCACTGTTACATGCCTTCCTGTGCCCTGCTAGGGTGTTTTGTATGATGCGTGAGGAGAATTGGGTCACCTCTGCTCTCACTTCCTCCTGTATTTTCCCCTTTCTGGCCCTGGATACTCCCTGCTGTGCTGTCACCCAGCCCCCACCTCCCCCAACCCGACTGGGTGACCCCTAAGGCCCATTCCAGCTTCAATCTGCAAAGGTAGGGTAATTTAGAGACTGTATGGGTTTCCTAAGTCCCTGCTAGGAACCCAGTGACAATCCAAATCATAGTTGTGTTAGGTGTGGCAGGGCTGCCCCCTCGCCCAGGGGACCAGGGTCTCAAGATCACGGGAGCAGTGCCCTGAAGAGCCGGGTCCTGTGGGCTGGAGCTGAGAGCTGCAAGTGGCTGGCCATCTTCTCTTCCAGGCTCTGAATGTGCTTTCTTCTCTTAAAAATGCCTTAGAATTTTTTTAAAAGTTAAAAAAATTTTTTTTTTTTTTATTTTAAATAATGCTAGTTTGTTAAAAAAAAGAAGCGTGTGTAAAGCAAAAAAAATAAAAGTCCCCTATGTGTCTTCCTCCCCAGTCTCATCCCATCCCAACAGTAGTGGTCACAGTCACTGCTAACAGATTGGTTTAGTCTTTGTCCTTTTTATTTTTAGAACAGTACTGTAAAATTATGCTAAATCATAGCTATGTCCTGCCACTTGCTATTTTTCTTTTTAACTATGTATCATGGATATTTTTTCACATCAGTAATTTAGACTCAGCTTATTCTTTTGTTAAATTTTATTCTTTTAAATAACTGCATGGTGCTCTATAGTTTAGATGTACCATAAACTATTCAGTCAAGCTTGCGTTGACAGACAGGTAGGTTAGTTCCAGTTTTTAACTTTTATGAGCCTCACTTCATTGGACATCCTTGCACATATATTTCTGTGCACTTGTGTGAGTATATCAAAGGGATGGATTCCTAGAAGCAGAATTGCCCAACAGACCCCATCCCTTTCAATCTGTGACTCTGACTGAAGTAGATAACTCAAAGCCCCACTTTTGGGGTTGGTGATTTCATTGTCAGGGCACAGACAGTTATCCATTGAGCATTTACCTCGTTTCAGGCACTGGGGAGACAGCAGTGAATAAAAGAGACAAAACCCTGTGCCCTCATGGAGCTGACATTCTCGTTAAGTGAGGCACACAATAAACTAGCTAGTAAAATAAATGGTGGGTCACAGGGCGAGCACCTACGGTGGGGAACAAGAAAACTGGCAACAGGGTAGAAAGTACAGCATGGAAGGTGGAGAGGGTGCTGCTGTTTTAATGGAGTGGTCAGGGATGGCTTCACAGAAGAGGTGTACATTAGTTTCTTCTTAATTTCTGCCATTCCAGTAGACAGAGAATAGCATTTGGGGCATATTTCTTTGGTTACTTGTGATAGTGAGCTTTTGTATATTTGTTAGACATTTGCATTTCTTTAATGAAATAAATGTCTATTCATATCCTTTTTTAGTTCTATCACTGTATTGATTTCTTGGAGCTCTTTATATGCTGTGGAAATGAATCCTTTTCCTGTTGTGTATTGTAAATGTTTTCACCTCATCTGCCCTTGTGGTATCACAGTGAGGCTTTAATTTTTATGTGGTCATTTTTGTTATATTTCTTTGTGACAATAAAGAAAGACGTTTGTTATCCCATGATCACAGAATGTTTTGTTGTATTTTCTTCTAGATATTTATAATTTTGTATATATTTAGTCAGGTTTTGTTTCATCTAAGTAACCTTGTATATGGTGTGATATACGAATCTAATTTTTTAAAACTGGCAGCCAGTTGTTCAATATCATTTATTGAATAGTTTATCTTTTCTCTACTGGCTTGAAATTCTGTCATTATTATATATTATAGTCTTCTATAATCAATTTCTGGACCTTCTCTTTTGTTCCTCTAGTGGACCTTCTCTATCGAATAGTTGTCTATTCTTGTGTGTTTATTTTGGAGTTTTAAAAGATGTGATAAAAGGCTTTATAGACAATGCAATTAGAAAAACACTGGAAGGAAATGTGTAAAATCTTAATGGTGATTATTTCTGGGTATTGGGATCCTGTGGGCGATTTATTTTTTTTCATCTGTCTGTGCTGTCCACATTTTATGCAGTGTGCCAATACACTTGCAAAAGTAGGGAAATTCTGGTCTCTTGTCTTTAATTTAGGGACAACTGGTTTTGTGATGCTGGCACTTGGGCCAATGGGAAGCAAGTTGAGCATTTTGTTTAGGGCCTCTATGACAACAAGGATAATTGAGATTCTTTTTTTTTTTTGGTGGTGGCAGCGACATATTTTGGGTATACGTAAGCTACCACATTGTAATTTCTGACTTAGCATGAGTGGGAAAGCCTTCAGTTTCCCCTGCTTTAGCCTGATTTGTTCTACGCCCCCTGACTGTGCTTTCTCTGCCTCACACGTGGTGGGTGCCAGGTGAGTAGCTCTCTTCACAGGCTCACCACGCAGAGTAACTCCCCACTGTAATCCCCACATGAGCCACAGGAGTGACAGGTAAGGTAAGACTGAGCAGAGTAGGGGATTAGCAAAGGGCAGGGTCCAAATAAGACTTGAAGAAGAATTTGGTTAAAATGATTTCTTGGCGAATGGTTGGAAAATAGGGACATTTCACTGTAGATATATATGAAGGGGAAAGATTTCGTCCTCCAAATCACTGTGAGTTGAGTTATAGGTCTTAGAAAATTTTGTTTGAGCCTCAGGACAAATCCAACTTGTATGTCTCCATTCAACAACCATTCATGGATTGCATACCATGTGTCAGGCACCATTGTAGTTGCCGAGAATAAAGTTGTGAACAACAACAACAAAAAGACAAATCTTGCCTGTAAAAAGCTCATAGTCTAGCAAAATGTTTCTGGTCATCAGGTAGGAAAGGTGGTATCCCATCACCATTCTCACTGGGCATCTAGGAAATTGGGAGACAAAGTCAGAGTGGTGACTTACCTGGGTGGACCCCTTAGCATTGTGTGACAGCAACCAGCTGAGAGGGCCCACCTCTCCTGCACAGATAATCTTCCTGAAGAGCAGGCCTCGCCTGCCATACACGGCTGCCCTGCTGAGCAGCTGCGCTGACGGCTACATCTATGCCTGGTCCATCCACGGGAATGGAGGCCTGCTGGGGAAGTTCTCCACAGACATCAAAGACAACGAGGATGTGGTTGTGGGTGCCATGGCCACTGATGAAAATGACCAGATCCTTATCACTGGGGATTGTAAAGGATACATCAAGGTGAGGAAGAACTGGTGTTGAGATTGAGGGGCTGGCGTCAGCCAAGCTATGGTCACCTCTTTGCCACATGTAGCCCTAGTCTAGTCCCTACTCCCTCTGGGTATGGTTTCATTTGTGGAACAGTGGACAGTAGAGTGGGTTACCTGAGAAGTCCTCTGCTGCTCTGGGTGCCCAGTGAAATGAGTGATGGTTCAGTTCAAAAGGCCTCTTTCCCAGTGAATTTTGTGTACCATCATCGTCTCCCTACAACTCCCTCGTCCCCCGGCCATGCATGTACTTTGTGATCAGTTGTCTCAGGAACTGATTTCATGCCTTGTGGTGAGATATGAGGCAAGAGTATCTTGTCTTTGGGCCAGTCTCACCGTCTCTGCCTGCTGGCTAAGGGGTCTGACCTAGAAGATTCCTTGGGCCCCTTCTGGCCCTGAGCATCTGGGTATATCAGAGGTGTGTATAAGAATTGCCTGCCTAAAATGAAGAAGGATGATCTGCGAGGGGTCCACGGAGTGAGTTGGTGTTGAAGTGAAGTAGTGCTGGGCCACTAACCCACACTTTGTGTCTAGGTCTGGGACATCAAGAATTACTGCATATCTACTGAAGGGCGGTTTTCTCAACCCAGTGGAACAAACAAGTTCCAGTTCTTAATTCCTGAACCAATCCAGATCAACACCCCACACTACATCCCCTTGGAAAAGAAGGAGGTAGGAAGAGTACTGGATGGTTGCTTAAAAAGTCCCTTTGAGCTCCACTAATGAGCTGGGACCACAGTTTTCATACTGAGACTCTGAGTCTATCATGTTTCCTGTTCAAGATTGTCTGGTTGGAGTGGGAAAGTTAGTCAGAAGTCATTAACCAGTAAAACACAAGCATACACACACCAGATACACCCACATGCATACACATGCACATGTATACACACATACACACACACACATACCTTCCACAGGCTTTGATCTTTGCAGCGAGGGCCCTGGAGTCATGCATTCTTTTTAAAATTAATAAAAATATTTGTATATTTTCTTTAGGTAATACATTCACATAGTTCAAAAATCACTTAATATTTTCCTGATGACTAATGAAATTGAGAACCTTTTCATTAGTTCTTCAGGAAAATGCAAATTAGAGCCACAATTTGGTACCACTACACACCCACTAGAAGGACTAAAACTAAAAGGCAGGCAATATCAGTGTTGGCAAGGATACAGATCAACTGGGATTTCCACTGCTGATAGGAATGTAAACTGGTACAATCATACTGGGGAACTGTTTGGCATTGGCTACCAGAGCTGGACGTGCCTGCTCTGTAACCTAGCAATTCCAGTCCTAGGTTTATACCTAAGAAAAATCTATGCTCTGAGAAATAGGAATAAGAATGTTGATAGGTTTACTATTTGTAATAATTTCACATTTGAAACAACTCAATTGCCCATCACTGTAAATCAGAAGAATAAAGCATGGTATATATACTGAACAAAATAATACCTGGCATTGGAAATGAATGGTTTACAACTAAATGCTACAAAATGGGTAGTTTTTCAAACAATTTAAGTGAAAGAAGTCAGATATAAGAGAGTATATATTGTATGTTTCATTTATGTAAATTATAGAAGCAGACAAAACAAACCTATTAGAAATGATTATCTTCGTTGGGGGAGTGGAGTGGCTGAAAGGAGTCGTAAGAGGGACTTCTGAGAGGCTGACAATGCTCTGTCATTATCTGAATCTGAACGTACAGTCATGTTCCGTTTATAAAAAATTTATTCAGTAGTACATTTATGATGTGTACACTTTTCTATATGTATATTACACATCAGCGAAAATTTTAAAAATCAGGCGATGTAAAAAAGCTTACAGTGAGGGATCTTTGTCCTACTCTTGTTCTCCCCCCAAACAATTCTTGTTTCCTGAAAGAACCACTTCTATTGATTTTTGGTTACTTTTCCAGTATTTAGTTACGCAAACACATGTACAAAGTCATTTCCCCCTTATTTTTACATGAAAGTAGCAGGTCATACACAGTGGTACTCACCATGCTTTTCTTACTCCATAATATATCTTAGAGATCTTTGCATATCAGTACGTTATTTTTTTTGTAGTTGTGTAGTAAGCCATAGGATATATTATTGATATAAGTCCCTTTGAAGGAAAATTGAAGTCATTTTCAATCTTCAGTTAAAGAAAAGTGGATGATGAATATGTCATCTTACATGTGTGAAAAAAATGTCTGTAGGATAAATTTCTGGAAGTGGGATTGCTAGGTCAAAGAGTTCTGTTCATTCGCAATTTTGATAGCCACCTTGCAATCTTAGGTGCCTTATTGAATTTCTGCACAAATATATTATGTCTAGTCTAGTTTTAGTAAGAAGAGAATTTCACTGCATTAGCATATGTTGGAAATTGGTCACCCATGGATTCAGTATATGAAGAATTTATAATGTTAATACAATCATAATAACAAGGATCATTTATTTACTGCTTACTATGTTTCAGGGATTGTGTAAGTGCTTTTATGTATCCTTTCACTGAGTCTCTGTAATGACTCTGCGAAGGAGATGGTTTTTTTTTTTTCCAGATGAGGAAGATGAAACTGAAGAGCTCACATACATCCCCTCTGGGGATGTGTCTGAGTTCACATGACTGCCAGTGTTGGATCTGGGAGTAAACCTAAGTCTTTCTGGTTCCAGAATCTGTGCCTCTGACTATCTGCTTTTAGTTTTATAATGATATATTTTAAACAAATAGGGATTATGGTCTGTGTAACTAGAATTTCCTACATCATCAAATATTCTTAAAAAATCAGACTTTCTAATGATTAAATAATCTTTCACTTTATAGAGGTACAATCTTTCTTTTAACTTGTTACCTATTGTTGGACATTAGGACAGTTTTTAATTTTTCACTATCAAAAAATAATAGAAAATAGACAAATTCTTAGAAAGATATCAACTATCAAAACAGCTCAAGAAGAAATAGAAAATCTGATGAAATAGAAAATCTGAATGTAGCAATGAATTAGTTATAACATTTCTAACAAAGCCCAGATACAGATGGCTTTACTTGTGAATCCTACCAAATATTTAAAGAAGAATTAACACCAATCCTCTTTAATCTACTCTAAAATATCAAGGGAGGGGAGAGAAACACTTCCAAACTCATTCTACGAAGCCAGCATTACTTCGATACCAAAACCACAATATCCCTTATGAATATACATGTAAATATTCTCAACAAAATACTAGCAAGTTAAATCCAGCACAATATGAAAAAGATTGTATACTATGATCAAGTGTGACTTATCCTAGGAAGGAAAGCTTGGTTTAATGTTAAAAATCAACTAATGTAATATACTATATTAATTGAATAAAGAAAAGACACATGATCATCTCAATAGAGGCAGAAAAAGCATTTGATAAAATCCAGCACCCCTTTCTGATAAAAACACTCAATTAACAAAGAATAGAATGACATTTCTTCAACTTGATAAAGGATATCTATGAAAAACTCACAGCTAATATTATACTTAATGGTGAAAGATTAAATTCTTCCCTTCTAAGATCAGTAACAAGATGAGGATGCCTGCACTTGCCACTTCTACTAACATTATAATAAAGGACAATTAGGGAAGAAAATGAGATAAAAGGCATCCAGACTAGAAAGGAAAAAGGAAAACTATCTCTATTTTTAGATAACCCGATCTTGTACATAGAAAATTCTAAAGAATCCACTGAAAAACTATTTGAACTAACAAATGAGTTCAACAAAATTGCATGGACAGGATCAATATATAAAAATCAGTATATTTCTATACATTAGCAATGAACAATCTGAAAAAAAAATTAAGAAAACAATTTTATTTAGCATCAAAAAGAATAAAACATTTAGAAATAAATTTACAAAAGTAGTATAATACCTATACTCTGAAAACTACAAAACATTGTTGAAAGAAATGAAAGAAAATTTAAGTAAATGAAAACATATCCCACATGCCTGGATTGAAAGTTTTGACCTTGTTAATATAGCAGTATTTTCCAAACTGATTCAATGAAATCTATATCAAAATCCCAACTGCCTTTTTTTTCTCTTTCTGGCAGAAATTGACAAGCTGATCTTAAAATTCATATGGAAATGCAAGGGACTTAGAATAGTAAAAAAAATATATTATTGGAAGACTCATATTTTTCAATTTTAAAACTAACTACAAAGCTACAGTAAAGGTAGTGTAGTACTAGCATTAGGATAGACATATAGGTCAATGGAATAGAATTAAGAATGGAAAAATGAAACCTCACATTTCAGGCCAATTGATTTTCAACAAGGTTGCCAAGACAATCAAAGGCAGCCTTTTTAACCAAATGATGCTGGGAAAACTACAAAAGAATACACTCAAAAGAATAAACTTACAACACATAAAAATGTACTTTATGACATAAACAAAAAATAACTTTAAAGGATCATAGGCCAAATGTAAGAGCTAAAATTATAAAGTTCTTAAAAGCATAGGGAGAAATCTTCATGACTTTGGGTTAGGCAATGTTTCTTAGGTATGCAACCAAAAACAAGCAACAAAAGAAAAAAATAGATAAATTAAACTTCATCAAAATTAAAATTTTTTGTCTTGCAAAGTACACCATCAAGAAAGTGAAAAGGCATCCTATAGAATGGGAGATAATATTTGAAAATCATATATCTGATAAGAGACTAATATCCAGAATATATGAAGAACTCATAACTCAATGATAAAAAAGACAAATAGCTCAATTAAAAATGTACAAAGGATCCAAATAGATATTTCTTCAAAGATGATGTATATTTTTCATAAGTATATGAAAAGATGCTGAACATCATTAGCCATCAGGGAAATGCATATCAAAACTATAATGAGATCTCATTAAGATGGCTACAGTTAATACCAGGTGTTGATTAAGATGTGGGCAAATTACAACTCTCATACACTGTTGGTGAGAATGTAAAATAGTGCAGCCACTTAGGAAAACAGTTTGGCAATTTCTCAAAGAGTTAAACATAGAGTTACCATATGACCCAACAATCCCACTCCTAAATATTTACCCAAGAAAAATGAAATCTTATGTCCACATAAAGACTTCAAAAAATATAGCAATATGCAAATGCTTTCTATGATTTTACCAAAAGGGCCAGTGAGGGCCAGAGAAGTGCTGGAACTTACCTAAGGTCACCAGAAAGTTAATGAGAGAATGTGTCCAGAACTAGAACCCTGGCCCCTGGCCTAAGGTCCTTCCAGAGGGTTCTGCTTCCACCAGTCCTGGGTGCCCTCTGATGAGCCTGCATAATGGTTTTGCTTTAAGTAATTCTCCTGTACTCTCCCCTGTAGGTTGTGGCCGGACAGACCATTTCCCTGGCTCCTCCAACACTTCTGATTACCTGGAAGGGCCATTTGGATAGTGTGGTCGACATCCTGTATGTGGATAGCTTTCAGCTGGTGATCAGTGCTGGTCAGGACCGGGACGTTAAGGCTTGGAAACTCTCCGGTGATGCCATTGGTATGGGGCTCTGCCGAAGCTCAGCCATGCTTGGCTCTGTGTTGGAATATAAGCTGGCATAAACCTATGTCTTATGGGGTGGGGGTTTCAGGCCACAGCAGCTGTCTTTGTTCATATAGTATTGCAGGATGTGAGTCTATCCAATTGTCCATTTGGCAGTCTGTCCATTTATCTATCAACTATCTGTCCACTGATCTACCCACTCACCCAATGTTATTATTTGCCTTAGTATATTTTTTCAAATCATATATCTGATAAGGTATATTCCTTTCTCTTTTTAAAAATAAACCTAATTCTTGCATTATAACATATATAAAGAAAAATGCACAGGCCAAAAGGGTTCAATTTGGTGAATTTTCATGAAGTAAAGATATACCCATATAGTTACCATTATATCAAGAAACAGAACACTACCAGCCCTCAGGGCTCTCCTTATCCCCCCACCCAACCATCTCTACTTACCCCTCTCTAAAAGTAACCACTATCCTGATTTCTAAATCCAGAGATTAGGTTTGTCTGGTTTTGAACTTTGTCTAAATGGAACCATTTGATGGGTTCTCCTTTGTTACCTGGCTACTTTCTCTTAATGTTATTGTGTTTGTGCAATTCAGTCATTTGTTGAATGTAGTAATTTCTTTGTTCTTATTGCTGAATATATTTCATTGTTGATGTACCATAATTTATTCATCTGTGCTACTGTTGGTAGGTACTGGGGTTGTTTCTGGACATTTTTGCCTATTAAATATAATGCTGCTATGAACATTCTTACACAGATTTTTTTTGGTGAACAAATGTGTGTATTTCTGTTATATATATATAACAGAACAGAATAGAACATGAGAGTCATGGAACTGCTAAATATATATTGAGTCTCAGTAATTACTGCTGAATAGCCTTTCAGTGTGCTGGTAGAAGCTGCAGATTTGCTCTGTGGTTCGAATGTTCTGAATTGTAATCTGTCATATCATATGAGGTTGTTAAAAGTTGATTAAAAATTCATCTAATTTCTCCTCATCTCATCAATCCTGTGGAGGATTCATCCTCCTCCTCCTCCTCTGTCAAGACTGAAAGCAGCCACTGGTCTCTTTTCTCCTGTCAAAGGCTTATTACTCTCTAAATTAAGTTTGCTTAGGTTTCCTTGAATTTTCACCTCTCTTATGGGTTTACATTTTTTTTTAATTAGTTTAAATTTGTTTCTGTTCTAAAATGAAATTCCTCATTTTATAGTCTTTATTCTTAAATATTCTTGATTATTTATATTGAGCCTTATTTTTCATCCTGTCTGACAATCTTTGCCTTTTAATTGGATGTTTAGTCCATTTAAATATTAATGACATTACTTATATGATTTAAGTCTATTACATGATATTTGTTTTCTGTTTATCCCATCTGTTCTTTGTTCCTTTCTTCTTCTTTTTCTGTCTTCTTTTGGATTAATCAAGTATTTAAACAATTATCCTGTTTTATTTCTCTGTTAGTTTTTAATTGTATGTTTTATATTATTCTTTTAGTGGTTACCCTATAGATTATAATATTCACTCTTGACCTGATACCACTTCCTATCTTACATTTCCCTTCCCGCTGTTCATGCTATTGCTAGCAGATATTTTACTTCTACGTGTGTTATGACTTCCGAGGCATAGTTATTAATATTACTGTAAATAATTGATTTTATATTTACTCACACGTTTCCCATTTCTGATGCTCTTCATTCTTTCCTGAAGTGCTAGGGTTCTGTCTGCAATCATTTTTCTTTAATCCAAAGAACTTCGTTTATTATTTCTTATAGAGTTGATTTGCTAGCGATGCATTCTTTAAGCTTTTATTTTTCTGAAAACATTTCTATTTGGCCTTGAAAGGTTAAGACTATTTTACTGGACATAGACTTCTCAGCTGGCACTTTAGTTTCTTTCAGTACTTAAAAAAAGACCATTCCATTGTCTTCTGGCTTCTATATTTTCTCTTGAAAAGTCCATTTGTAAGTTGATACTTTGAAGGTAATTTTCCTTCTGACTGATTTTGGCTTTCAATTATGATATGCCAAAGTGTGGTTTTATTTGTATTCATCTGCTCGGAGTTCACTGATTTTTTTTTTTTTTTTCAATCTGTGGGTTGCTATCTTTCATCAGTTTTAAAAATTCTCAGATATTATCTCTTCGACATTGCTTTTGCCTATTCTCTTCCTCCTCTCATTGTGGGGTTCCAATTACATGTACTCTAGAACATTTGACTCCACCCCATAACTCTCATACTCTATTCTGTTCTTTCCATTTTTTCTTTAATCTCTACATTCCAGTTAGGATATTTTCTACTGACCTGCTTTCCAGTTTATTAATCCTGTCTTCTTCTATATGCAGCCTAATGTTAAATCCATCCAATTAATTCTTAATTTCCGATATTGTATTTTTTAGTTCTGGAATACCCATGTGGTCCTTTCCTGTAGATTCCAATTCACTTTTTGAAATTCTCCCTTTTTCTTCCATTTAAAAAATATTTTTCTTTATTTTATTTAACATTATTTACAATAGTTATTTTAAAGTGTTTATCTGCTAACTCCAATGTCTGAATTATCTGTGAGTCTGATTCTAATGCCTATTTTTTCTTTTGGATATATTTGGATTATTGGATATATTTTCCTGTCTTTTCACATGACAGATGCATAAAAAAACTTAAAAAAAAAAAGCAAATATAAAATCCAAAAACAAAAACAAAAAAATGTTAACATAATACTTATCTGGACTTTGTATAAAAGAACCATAGAGACTAAAGTTGATATGCTTTTCCTCCAGCACATTCGCTCTTTTCTGTGTATATGGCTGCTCATCTCAATGTAATCAAGAACTGAGCTAGGACTGGACTGCAGCTTTAGGTAGACTCAGTTTACTTCTGTCTTCAGTTGTCTCAAGGGTGAAGCCTGTTGTGTCTGTTATAGGCTTCTTCCTCTAGTGGGACTCTTTCTCCCAATAATCTCATTATGCCTTTCTAGCCCAACCCTTAGACCCTCAGCTCCCCTACTACTCAGCAAATGTCTGGTGGGAAAAAGAGTTATCTCTGTATTTGCAACTCCACTAGACTTAATCCATCATGCCAACCAGAATGGCTGTCAGAAGCTGTGTTGGTTTCTCTTCTTTCCAGTAGTTTTTTTTCTGTCTAAGCCGACCCTCATTCTCACTCAGCCTGTGTCCAGACTTGAAAATGCTCCCAGAGAAGAAGGCATCTCCCTTTCTGTAATTTTAGTTAATTTGGTTGTCTTTGATTCTTCAGCTCTCTAATGATTTTTAAAGATATGATTTTGTAACATGTCTGTTTTATTTTTCTTAATTTTAAAAAATTCTGCAGCAGGCAAATGGCATACTACTTACTGTACTCCTCCCAGAAGTGGGACTCATATTTCTCTATTCTCACTACCTACTTTCTACTCCGGGCTCATTCTTCCCCGGCCCCATCCCTAACCTCATGTCCGATGGACGCCTGATCATTTTGTGCCATTGCCATTTTATACGTGAGATTCTTGAAGCCCAAATGAGGATTACTCAGTCATTGCCATAGTACTCTCTCCATCTCAGCCTACATGTGGGGCAAGATGCTTTAGGCTTGCACTCCAAGTATATACTAAAGTTAATGTCTGATTCCTCCAGATATTTGTTGAGTAGCCAGCATAATGCCTGCCGTATGGTGGACATCATGAAGTGTGGGCCAAAGGTATGGGGTTGCTGGCTGACTTTTGAGGGTGGAAGGTAAGGGGCAGAGGGTTCAGAGGAGGAGGCTAGGCCAGTCCTTGTTACTGAGCTGGGTCTGGTTAAATCACAGGGACATTTGGCCTGAGTGTTTGGAAGAAGCTGCAGGATGCTGAGATGCTTGGTGATCATGAATTCAAAAAAGGCTTAAAGAAAGAGGATGACTCCACAGACGGTTCCCAGAAGGCCTATAAAGAGCTGCAGTGAGTCATCATAGCTCACTTGGTCTCCTCTGGCCTGAGGAGGGGGATGCCTCCCCAGGTCCTAAGCAGCCTCACCTGGGTTGGGTGATGCTGGGCACATTCAGGGGGCCCTGGAAGGCCAAAGGCTTGTGACTTGCAGGCAACATGACTCTACAGTCGGCAGTTGTGGTCTAAGAGCCTAAGGCTCTGTTCTAGCCCAGTTCAGCTGAAAGACTGAGCAGTACAAACCAGAGGAAAATATAAAAACCCAAGTCCTTAGATAGGACCCTGTCCCAGAGCCAGGTTCAGATTTGCCAGGGCTGGCTTCCCTGCAGGGACCATTTCTATGTGGCCAGAATGCCCAGGGCTCTGGTCCTGAACAGACACTATATCTTTTCTCTGAGCCATGAGGAAGGCAGACTGCTTGCTACTTATTTTTTCCTCTACAGGTTCCTCCTGCACCCATGTTTTACTCTTATTCCTGACCAAGTCTCAGATAATTTTGGGTCATTCAAAAAGTTATTTATTGAGGTCTTGCTGATTGCCGGGCTCTGTGCTAGGTTCTAGAGATTCAAAACACTCCAGACACCAGCCCTGCTTACTTGGTGAGATGAACAGCAAACTCCTGGCTACTTGGGGAGATAAATAGAAAACTCCTGGCTACTGTTCTATGTGATAAGTGATGGGACTATTAAGAACAGGGATGGCAGAAGACAATCACCTGATCGGATAGATCAAGCAAGGAAGGCTTCATAGGAGAAGAGATTTTAGAGTTGAGTTTTGACATGTCAGTAGGAGTTTGCCCAGCACCCACAGAGTCCTTACGGCTCCTATGCTCCTGTCAAGGCATACATCTTTATAACAAACAAGGGATCTCAAACAAGGGAGAGACAGGGTTTCCCTGGAGGGAGAGAATGTTTAAGTATTTCAGAAAGGAAAGTCCTGGGTAAGGTCAGGATGGGGTGTCAGGCCTCCAGGGAGGAGAACACAGGTTCATGGGAAGGGTCACAGGACTTGTTGGGGGCTAGTTTAACCTTGGCTTTACCGATGACGATGATGGGCCCTGGGCAGTTTGGCCTCAGTGGAGGGATGTGAAGGTTGGTGAGGATCAGGCCCAGTGGGGAGAAGCCCTCTTGAGGTTCCTGGGAGGGCTACCTTGTGGTGTGGAGGGCATCTTATGAAGGAAAACCCCTCACATCAGGGAGGAGCGGGATTTTGCTGAGGCCTTGGTGTACCAGAGGCGGGAGCAGGTGGCACTCATGGCTCTCCTGAAAGGGAAGGAGAACACGGAGGCTGAAGCTTGGGCCAAGCTGCAAAAGATAAGCCTGATGTCCCCATGGGCTGGAGAGCGCGCCCCAGAAGAAATTGAGAACAGCTGGTGCAAATGGGAGTCCAACGGAAAGCAGGTGAAGCTGGGTGACGGACACAGGCAGTTGAGGGGCCCCCAGCTCTCAGCCCTGAGCCTTCACTCTTGCCCCTGACTCCTGCAGGTGAGCAAAATTCTTGGATCAGCGTACAAGCCCAAGGAGCGGTCACGGAGTCCTGGACTCCTCTGGCCCACCAACGTGCAGTATGGCTGGATGAAGTTCCAGGTGCGGCTGGAGCTGGAGGCTCCATCAGTGGCACCCTCTTGTCCATGGGGTCCTCTGGTGGGGGTGAAGGGAACATTCGTCCTTTAATAGGATTCCGAGCCACAGTTCCAGAATGAAGCTGGTCCGGTTGGTTTGTCCCCCAAGGCTCTGGCTGAAGCCATGGACACAGGTCTTGTCCTTGAGGACAAACCTCATTGGATCTATGGGAGGAGGTTCTCTGTGGGCCTGGCACCCACTGACAGCCGTCAGAGCATTTCTCAGAGTCTGTGGTTATTCGTTTGGTAGTGTGTTTACTGCTTGTGTTTCTGTACAGTGGGGTTGCTCCTGAGCAGACACAGGTGTCATGGTGCCAGGCACACAGTCAGAGGCGGAGGGAATGGGAGGGGCTCTCCTTGGGGAGTGAAAGGAGCAAGGGCTTGAGAAAGACCCACTTTGAGCCCCATCCTGCCTCGGGCAGATCTCAGCCTCTCCCAGTCTTTCCCTCCTCATCTGCCACAGGGGCATTACCTAGCTCCTTGCCTCTGTGGTGAGGACTCAGAATAAGTGAGGTAACTCCTCTGTCCCAGGCTGGGGAGAAGTCGATGTGAAAAGGGACCAGTTGGCTTCCGTACCCTCCTCTGAAGATGGGCTCAAAGCACAGCTTGGCTAATGCTAATGGGAGATGTGAGAGCATGTTTGGGAGCACCTGAGCCCCACTCGGGGTCTAGCCTGAGACCTCATTCTAAGATGAGGACAGTCCAGGGCCAACCTCACGGGGTTGTTGCCAGCACCAAGACAGAGGCTGGGTAATGGGCCTAAGGCACAGTGGCTTGCAGGCCCACAGGCGGTGCTCATTAGTGACAACCATAGTACTCGAAAGACTTCTTTGGCATGGGAAGACCCCAGAGCTCATCTTTCTTGTGAACCTGCTCTTGGTCCTGGTGGCCTCCTTCCTGCCCTCACACTCCTCTGCTCTGTTCCCCACAGATCTCACCTCAAATCTACCAAAGCCTGCAATTCAATGAACTGGCGCCTGCCTACCAGCCTGATTTCAAGGTGCACAAGGTCCTAGACCAGAAGGGCTGGCTTACCAACCTGGTGACCCATGATAGCCGGAAGGACGTGGATCCTGACAGGGAGACCATGCTGGACACCATGGCCAGCATGCCCACTTCCACCATCTCCCCCTCCTCCTTGTTCTCCACGTCAGCCTCAGGCTCCAGGTTCCTGACCAGCGTGTCCACCTCCCCAAGGCTCCAGTCCTCCCTTTCCTTCCAGCGGCCCTGATCAGCCTCCACAGCCCAGTCTGCCCCCTCAGTCCTGTTCAGACGTCCAGGTACATCCTTCAGGGGTCAGCAATGCCCATGCCTTCGCCTCCTCCTTGGAGCAGGTCTTCAGCCCTCTGAAGGATGACCTTCTGTTCTCTGTGAAGAAGAGCTCCCAGCTCGGGTGCCCTCCATGGCAATGGCCCCAGATCCTTCTGTCTTCCAGCAGGGTGACCAGACCCATGGGGTCCTGTCTGTTCTTGACATATCCCTGCCAGGCCCAGAGAATATTGACTTTCCCCTGGCTGTCCTCACTCTGCCTGTTTGATGAACTTGATCTTTACCAGAGTTCTGGAGAATAAACATTCACAGATATTGGAGTCCACAGGCCATGAGGTTCAGCTGTGTCCCTCGCCCCCTTAGGTGCCCGGTTGTATTTCTGATCAGGTCATGTCCCCCTGGCAAAGCCCTGGATGGGTGCAGAAAGGACAGTCCCTCCTGCAGGACAGCTGGCGAAGCTATCTGGCTCGAGACAGGCCGGAGCCCAGAGCAGGGGCTTCTCAGGCCCCGTGGCGATGCGGTTGGGTCATGCCACTGGGATGTTGTGAAACTTGGTTCAGCCTCCCAGCAAGAGGAGACCAGCAGCCATCTGGAGGGGGTAGGGGCTGTTTTTCTCCTGCCCCTGCTGTGTGTCTGTCCTTCACCAGCATGGAACCCTGTGTTTACAACCTGTTCTGGCCCTCGTATAAGGGAGCCTCAGAAGTGTGGTGGGTGGCACCCCAGCCTGCCTCTGCCAGTATCTGGCTTTGGAGTTCTTCATCATCTGGGCTCATTGTCCTTCTCTGACTCAGAGGCACCCGTCCAGGCCTCTGCTAGGCCCCCAGCCCTCTTGGTAGCTCCACCTTCCATTCTGGGGCACGTGGAGACTCTGGACACATGATCTGTGGCCTACGGAGAGGCAGAGCAGCCACTGCTGCTGCACCATGGTGCCCACAGTGCCATGCTAGGTGGGGGCTTGCTGAAGTGGTGGGAGGTGGGCCGCAGGCCTGGTTTCTTGAGCGTTTCTCTAATTCCTGTGTTCCCACGGCCCCTCCCACCCAGCCCAAAGCTCAGCCCTGAGAGATAAAAGTGTGGCTTCTCACTTCTCTCTCCATTGCTTCTCCCTTTCACATTTCCCAGTCTGAAAGCACAGGCTTTCCTTTACCCTCTTGCAGAGAGTCTCCTATGTCACTGTACCTCCTCCCCAGGGCTACTGTATTGTCTCTGCAGTCGAGAATCTATGACCTGAGCTCTCCAAGGCTTGGTTCTTGGAGTAAGGAGTCAGGGGGCACCCAGGAGACGGGATTATTGAAGCCAAAATACATTTGCATGCTATACCCCCAAATCATCCACGTTCTAAGGCTCCCGTAACAACATACCACAAACCCGTGGCTTTAAATAATAGAGATGTATTGCCTCACAGGTCTAAAGGCCAGAAGGCCAGGTGTTGGCAGGGCCACACTCCCTCTGAAACCCAGAGCTGGAGGGAAGTGGGGCGAGGAGACATGGCATTTACCAGACCTCGGAAGATTTTCTTAAAGGCTTCTCTGCACAGCGCTGACCCAGAGGGAGATTCAGGGTGCCCTTTAGGCCCCGAGATCTTGACATGGCCAGGACATGCTAACCTCTGGGAGAGCCTCTGCCTGACTCTGGGACTCAGTGAGCCTTCTCTCAATGGACCCAGCTCTGTTACAACAACTTTTTACTGCATTTGCCCACATGTCTCAGTTTTGGCACGTTGTAGGCACTTAATTGTAGAGTCTGAATCCCACCTCCTACCCCAGCTGCAGCTAGCCATGGAGATTTTTCTCTGGCCACAGAGCTCGCAGGCGGTCCTTCCAGGTGGCAGGCAGGTGCCCAAAATGCAGAATCTCAGGCGCCAGGATAAAAGGTAGGGCTGAGCTTAGCTAATATGTGAGTGACTTCTGTCTCGCCTACTGCCCACACCCAGGCCCTCCTGACCCTCCCACCTGGGATACCGGGCAGATAACTCCTGAGCATCAGGGTCAGAAGGAGCTGAGAACCCTGGTGGGGAAGTGGAAGCCAATGTCACGCAGGAGTTGGGTGTGAGAGAGCAGGGAGGCCCTGCCTGTGGTGCCCCCACAGCGCCCTCCCCCTTCTCCCCAGGCCTAGGTGTCCACGGAGCCACCCCTGTCTCCTCTCTGCCTTTTCTCTGCTTTTTGCATCCATGGCCTTAATAAATGACGTATTTTAACTATTTTCTGATTCTGAAAGCAGCACAGGCTGAGTACAGAAAATCAGGAAAAGAAAGAAAAGCATAAAAGCCAATAAAAACCATCTGGATTCTATATCCCAGAGAATATTTTGGTGCATTTTCTCTTAGATTTTTTTTTCTGTCTTTATGTGCACTGTGTACATACCCATATACACACACACTCATACCCTCACATTCACGTACACTCACACTTACACTCATCGATTCCCTCATACACTCACACCCACACAACCTATAACCATGGCATTAAAGCTTCACAGGCAGCATCCTCATATGATATGCGAATGGCCAGTCGCTGCAATTACTTGTAGACCTCGCCCATGATGGCTGCCTTTAGCCCCTCCCCAGGTGACCTCTTCAGGTTCTGGGGCCATTGCCATGCTGCTCTTGAGAGGAGCAGGAAGGCACACGCCTGTTTGCCCCTTGCCCATGTACTGCTAACAATCAGAAAAGAGCAACCATTTATCTCCAGGGGAGCAGTTTTCCTGGGCCAGGCTGGGCTTGAGGGGTCATGACCCCACTGGCAGACTAAGGGTGTGTGCCCCTCCACCAAGAGCACGAGGGCACCGAGGGGATTGTGGGGACAGTCTTGTCCTCAGAGAGAAGGCATCATTGACCTTCCATGTTTCTGGCACCACTTACTGAGCACCTGCTATATGCCAAGCGCTGTCCTGGGCACTAGGGACATCAGAATCAGGAAGACCCAGCCCTTTCCCATTGGGGACACATCATTCTGTTATGTGGATGCATCTTCTCATCAGTTTATCTTATTGAGCATGAGCATTGGGCATCTAGGGGGAGGCAGGTGAAGCTCATGGGACAACGTGTAGACACAGTGGGGACCAGGAGAAGTGATCTGAGGTGGCTTTCCGGAGGAGAAAGCCTTTAAGCCCAGAGCCAGTCAGGATCTTTGTGTTGGCTGTCCACTCTTCCCCCAGATCAAAGGGCCCCTCCTTTATGCCCTGTTCAAACATCCCCCCAATGCCCGACACACCTGCTGTCTCTAAGCCCTGCCCTGCTTTAATCTCATCACAGCATTTCCTTGCATGTTTCCTTATCCCTGTGTCCTCTTCCCCCAGGGCAGAACAAGGTCTGTCTTGTTCATGGTTGCCATGCCTGGCACGGTGCTTAGCACACTGCAGGTGCTGGATAACTATTTGTCCAATAAATACTCGTGACTATTCAAAGTTTACCTCCACTGGGAGATCTTCTGAGGTTGATCTCACCTTGATTTTCCTCTCTGGGCTGTGTGTCCCTATTCACTGGCCTTAGCTGGATTTTGGAGTGTCCCTCCCCAGGGGAACTGCAGACTCTGTCTGTGACCCCCAAGCCTTTGGCAGAGATGCTGGGCAGGGGCAGTGGACCTGACTGGCTCTGGGCATCCGGGCTTTGTCCTGGATTCCATGCTGGTTGGGTCCTGAATAGGGTCTGGAAGAGAAGGGAGGTCTTGGATTGGCAAGTGGTGGGGAATAAGGGATGGTGTTAGTCAAAAAACACCGTAGGGGCAAAGGTTAAGGGGCGGAGCAATGAGGGGAACCTGGGAAGCAGGCTGGGGGTTGCCTTGCTCTGAGGGCCTGAATATCAAGTAGGGCCCTTCCAGGCAGCCAAGGGGCCCAAGAGGATGTGATGGCTAGCGGGTGTTCTGTGTGGCTGAGCTCCCGGAGGGGACAGCACCACCAGCGACTGTGCTTTGGGAGCAAGAGGCAGATCCAGAACAATAGGTCACCTGCCCCCCAGAACATGCATACACCCTCACGAGTTCATTGCTGGAGGCAGCCCAGCCTGTAGTCACAGGTGCTTTTGTGGTGAAGAGTGGTACCTGGGCTTTGTGAAGGCTGTTTCCAGATGAATGCCCCCAGGTCTTTTTTGGGGGTGGTTAAGGATGGGGTCTTCCAGCAGAGGGAACATCCAGGGAAGAAGCCCCAAGGTCGGAATGAACTGGCATTTTTAGAGAGCAGCAAAGAGGCCATTGTGGCTCACAGAAGTGACAGAGGGAGGGAGGAGCTGTGGGGGAGGCCCAGAGGTGCCAGTCACACAGGGCTTTTTTCTCTTGGGAATCCCTAGGGCATTTCAATAAAAAGTGCAACATAGTCTCACTGGTGTCTTGAAAAGCTTCCTTTGGCTGTCTTAGTGGGGATGGACTGTGGAGGCAGGAGTGGTCCTGGGAGATTCAGGGGTTGGGATAGGTGGGGGATAGGGGGTCGTGTGGCTAGGACCAGGAGGGTAGCAAATACTGATGCCAGGAGCTGGCTGTGGGAGTCTCTGAGGTGTGCAGGGGAGGAGCTCTGGGTTACTCTGGGCTTCTTTTCCTTAAAAACCTTCCCCCCTAGAGCTTCTTCTTTTTTTTTTTTAGGCGAGGCAACCCTTGGTTGACCTCACAGATTGCAAGGACCTTGTCAGTTTACAATCTCTTATTTTTTAATTTTTTACGCCTACAGTACTTGGCCTTCCTAGGAGGTTTCCCATCCAAGTACTAACCAGGCCAGACCCTGCTTAGCTTCCGAGATCAGACAGGATCGGGCTTGTTCAGGGTAGCATGGCCGTAGACCCCTAGAGCTTTTTAACTATCAGATTTCCTCAGTTCTCAGATATAATTTTAAAGTTGTATTACATTTTTAAAAAAAGGTTTAAGAAATTGGGATGTGTCTCACAATCGATGGGCACATTCAGTGAATTTTTTCCCCTTGGAAAGCTGGCATTACATGGATAAATATATCCTAGAATAGAAAAAAGGCAGTTAGGGCATC